TTTCAGAATAACAGCATTTTGCCTTCCTGATATTGCTGACATGTTAAGATTTTATTGATTTGGAAATCAGTGCTTTTGTGCTTCTACTATGATTAAGTAGGCTACGTAGTTAAATGGTTTCTTTTTTGTCTGTTTTTACAGTGTTTATTGTTGTTTTACAATCGGATATCTGCACAGGCTATTTTATTTTGAAAATTGACCGGATGAGCTCCCGCAGCCGCGCCGTAGGCGGACTCAGTGGAGGTAACCCAGAAGGCCGGAGCGCTACATGAAAGCACACATGGGTGCGGGCAATATTTTGTTCATTATGAATGAGCGAATGCAGCATATTGGTGGACATTCTTTCCGCGCTTATTGCGGAATCTCTGTGTGAAAGCGGCTTGTGTCTGTTGTCCATGTCCAGAATTGTTTCCTATTTAGTCAGATTAGTCCCTAATGTGTTTCGCATGTTTGTTCCTCTCTGCCCCTGTATGTGTAAGCTATGTATAGTCCTCATTACTGTTCAGTCTGTCGTCATTCATGACGAGTGCGGATGTCTGCATGTTTTTGGATTTTGGATGTTAAATCACCCTTTTTGTTTGAATTTTTGTTCTTTGCTGGATTCAGAACAGTATTTAAGTAAGTATTTCACACTTCTATAACCAGAGACTGGTTCAACACAAACGCATGGCCCAACACAGAAGGGCCAACTCCTCAGCAGTTTATCGACATTAGAAGGATGAATGACACTCAATTGAGGACCACTAGGTGCACATTTTAGATACAGAGGATTGGTGGTTTGAAAGAGGTATAAAGGAAGTCATTTACACCCGTGTTTGGAACTGGACTTTGCAACTGTAAGTTGTAGGCCCTATGTTTTCTGTTACAGTTTTTTACAACTGCTTACACACATTTTCAAAACTATGTCTCCTTTTTTTAAAACTCTACACACAATTCCCACAACTGCTCACACAAAATGCAAAATGCCTCATATGTCCTTCAAAATGAAACACTGCATTCAAAATACCATAAACACATCCCAAAATGAAGCACTTGCATCAAATGGCAAACACTTTTTCCATAATAGTAAATTATTGGATTTACACACTGTCGTTTTAAATCTAAAGCTCTTTTGTTTTTCATAGGCTTATGTGCACGTTCCCATACAATGTTCTAGAGTGACAAGTGTATCTTGTGTAAATTGTAAATTGTTGCAAATTTCATTGTAAAAAACTAAAGTTGGGTTTGACTCTTATGGTGCTTTCAGACCAAAAGCAAAGCGTGGGGGCGGGACCAGCAACGCGAAGGAATCTGCATGAGTTGAATATTTTCAACTCAAGTGAGAAAGTCGCATGACGCTGAGTCGCGAGGCAGAGCTGGGGATTGAAAATCTGCTGGCCGTCTGAGAGCTGCTAAACAAATAAACACCCGTAGTCGGTCGGATTCTACACCGTTTACTCGCGGGAGGAGCTCGGAGTTAACTGCTTTTATTACAGTTTTTTTCTGATTGCTTAAGCACATTTTTTGTAACTATTGGCTATTTTTGCAAAACTCTACACACAAATAAGAAAACCTTTCACCCAATTATCAAAACATTGTAGTTCTCTTGCAAAAGCGAACACAGCTAGATTAACTCTTTACACCTTCGTAAAAATGGTGTTTTCGTATCAAACAGTAAACACAAGCCATCATCTACTAAGCACGCAGTGTGCCAACTACACACTGATGGTATGAATACAAAACACATCTGGCTTTTGCTTTCTCTGTGTACAGATGTCAATTTGAGGTCATACTTTTGTCATAGTGTCATGTAAACATACAAGGATCCAAACTTCAAGTATTGGTGTTTATTCACACTCATCAAAACCAAGATAAAGTCAGAACACAAAATAGTAATTTCACAAAAAAAGACAATCAGCCTACATCATGTTGTCTTTCTGGGTCCGGCCACAAAATTTCGTCCACATCGCATGCGATATCCTCCAGTCCAAGGCACCGGGGAAAATATCTCCTTGAATGCCGTATCCAGGCCTGACATGATGCCTGGTCAATATCTCCACATGCCTCCTCCATTGCCTGTAAAAGGGCTACCTGTTGATGAGGATGACAGTCGTACAATTTCCAGCGCCAGGCAGAGAAGAACTCCTCGATGGGATTTAAGAATGGAGAGTATGGAGGGAGGTTGAGTGCCATGAAGAATGGGTGGTCTGTAAACCAGTTGTGGACCAAAGCAGCCCTGTGGAAACTAACATTGTCCCATATGATGACATATTGGGTCTGCTCTGGTCTCTGAACAGTGAGCATGTCATGTAAGGTGTCCAGGAATGCAATAATGTGTGCAGTGTTGTATGGGCCTATGGTTGCATGATGGTGAACAACACCATTTTGGCTTATAGCTGCACACATGGTTATGTTACCACCACGTTGTCCTGGGACATTGATGATGGCACGGTATCCAATAATGTTCCTGCCACGTCTCCTGGTTTTACTGAGGTTAAAACCGGCCTCATCTACAAAAAGTAGCTCATGTCCCATGGCATCTGCTTCTAGTTCCATCACTCTCTGGACAAGACAAAACAAATGCAACACATCAGGCCCATGCACAGCACTACAGTATGCACTTCCAAATTCAGAACCAATGACACTATAGCTTACCTGCACATAGTCATATCGCAGTTGCTTTACACGTTCTGTGTTTCTCTCGAAAGGAACTCTGTAAATTTGCTTCATTCTTATTCTGTGGCGCGCAAGTACACGACTTAGTGCAGAAATGCTTACACTGTGTATATTTTGAAAGATGGTGTCATTATCAATTATGCGCTGCTGTATTTCGTGCAGTCTTATTGCATTATTGGCAATCACCATGTTCACTATATGGGTCTCTTGCTCTGGAGTGAACATTCTTCCTCTGCCCCCAACATGTGGACGTCTAGCAATTCTGTAAAGTAACAATTTCAGTATTTTTGCATGTATGGTACTGTTGTGTTTCTCATTAGAGTATGGCAGTGCTACAAAGTACTTACCGATTCTGATTTCGAAATGTCCTAATGATGCTTGCCACAGTGTAGCGGCTCAAATTAGGCTGAACCCGTTAGCCAGCTTCCCTCAGGGTCATCCCATGGTTGATGACATGGTCCACTATTGTAGCTCTGATGTCATCAGTTACAGTTTTTTCTGATTGCTTAAGCACATTTTTTGTAACTATTGGCTATTTTTGCAAAACTCTACACACAAATAAGAAAACCTTTCACCCAATTATCAAAACATTGTAGCTCTCTTGCAGAAGGGAACACAGCTAGATTAACTCTTCACACCTTCTTAAAAATGGTGTTTTCGTATCAAACAGTAAACACAAGCCATCATCTACTAAGCACACAATGTGCCAACTACACACTGATGTTATGAATACAAAAAACATCTGGCTTTTGCTTTCTCTGTGTACAGATGTCAATTTGAGGTCATACTTTTGTCATAGTGTCATGTAAACATACAAGGATCCAAACTTCAAGTATTGGTGTTTATTCACACTCATCAAAACCAAGACAAAGTCAGAACACAAAATAGTAACACTTTCCAGCGCCAGGCAGAGAAGAACTCCTTGATGGGATTTAAGAATGGAGAGTATGGAGGGAGGTTGAGTGCCATGAAGAATGGGTGGTCTGTAAACCAGTTGCGGACCAAAGCAGCCCTATGGAAACTAACATTGTCCCATCACCTCCACGTCCTCTTCCTCCAACTTCTTCACCTCCACGTCCTCTTCCTCCAACTTCTTCACCTCCACGTCCTCTCCCTCGGCCTTCTCGGCCTCCTCGGCCTCCTCTGATTCTCACTCTTCTCACTCTTACTGCTCCTTCCATTGTACTCCACACAGACAGCTTACCTGTGGCTTATTTATAGTGCTTAGGCTGATTGCAAAGTGAACTAATTATCTAAAACAGTTTTAACATGTGAAAGTGTGCCAGACAGTTGGCAAAATAGTGTAAATGATAGCCATACATGTGTATAATTTTGCTAGGAGTGTGTTGGAAATTTGGTAATTGAGTGTAAGCAGTGAGTTGTGTTTAAAGTTCTGCAAAAAGAGTGTTGTGCAGTGAATTGTGCCTACAGTTTTGCAAAGTGTGTGTTACAAAATTGCAAACTGAGTGCAAAGCAGTGTTTGTGCTTTTAGTTTTGCAAACTCAGTGAGTGGTTTTGCTATACGTATTAATAGTTTTAGAAATAGTGCTACAAGAATCATTATTAACGCTTAAGCATTCAGAAAAAACTGTAAATTAGCTTTTTACTTTAGTTTTTGGGATTACAACGTTTATTTATCTTCTCAGGAGCTAGCTTCCGTGCACATCCGGTTCCAGTTGTTGTTAGCGTCGTTAGCTCTGTCGGACTACAACTTCATATTTATATAAAAAACGGACAAAACTGGACATTACTTGGAGAAAAGAAAGCGAGGAGGTTGAACTACCTGGTGAGTTCAGAAAATGTGTCTATATCTTTATTCCAGCTATCATTGTACTTTACTGTGACCAAGTTGGCATAGAATAGCCCTGATCGATCCAAACTCCATTCAGAAAACAAACATTTTAGAAGTTGTTGTCCTGCTGTCTTGCTGACAGACCTGACAAAGCATGAATTCATATGTTTACAGTTTTTACCCATTGCTTGAACACTATAGACACATGCTTAAACCAAAGTAACATAACTTGAAGTTGTTGTTACTATACCTTAAACAAAGTGAAACCATACCATACCAAGCGCTTCTTTGCACTTTAGTTTAGCAATTCTGTAACACACTTGCTCCTTTCTGCATCATACTTGCTCCTAGACACTACACACACTTAGTTCAAAAATTAAATCTCAGGGTACCATTGGAAAAACACATCTATTCAAAATACAACACACATTGGTTAATTGAAAAAACGTAGACACACACCTGAAAACACTTACTTACAAAATTGAACACCAATCAGCAAGCTACAAAAAGGAGGAAGAGGAAGACAGAGAAAGAGAGGAGGACGTGATCGAAGAGGCCATGCAAGGGCCATTATTTCGGGTTTGACATAAGAGCAACTTTGGTGCACCATGTCATAAACCATGGCCTGACTATGAGGGAAGATGGGAAGAGAGTCCACACTAATGTAAGGACTTTCATAGTTTCATCCATAATGACATTCCGACAGGAAAACAGGTTTGTCTTCAACTCTCTACTCTACTCAGACTGTATCCAGAGTATTTAAAGTACTGTACCATATCACGTTACTGTATCACATGTATTGTATTGCAGGGTGGCTAATGCTCCTTTTTCAACAAAAGTGGTAGTTTTGTGAAACCTACCGTGATAACGTGTTGAGATGTTTCAGTACTGTGTATGGTAAAAACAGTAATGTACAGTTCTGTAAAAAAGAAGCAAACAAGAACAATTTGTGGTTGCATTTTTATACAGAATGGCTAGAAGACCTACTGGGGGTGGACGGCGGTGCCTGTTCACCCAACAGCAGTATCTTGCCATAGTGAACCTAGTCAGAGCAAACACTGCAATCCGTCTCCACCAGCTACAGCCACAAATACTTGCAGATAGGCAAGTATTCAACAACATAAATCGAGTAAGCATTACCACTATCAGACGCATCTTGGTAAAGCATAACATGACTGTGAAGCAATTGTAAAGGGTCCCATTTGAGAGGAACAGTGTTGGGGTCAAAGAACTTCAACATGAATATGTACAGGTAAGTGTTATAGTCCTTTACATTTACAATACAGAATGGGGGCAGTTCAGTAACAGATGAATATGTACCACTGGATCAGTACCACATAGATTAATTCAGAAAGCTACACAGGTACCTGTGTGGTGGGGTAGGTCAGTTCTGTGTGTGTAGTAGTGTAGGTGTGTGTTTGTGTAAAGCCATCCACAATATGTATTTTTTTGTTACAGAGAATCTTGGACATGGATGGAGCTGGCCAGCCGCATGAATGTATTTATATTGACGAGGCTGGATTCAACCTTAGCAAAAACAGACGATAGGGATGCCAAAGGGCAATTGTGCACGTCCCGGGGCAGCGCGGGGGAAATATCACATTGTGTGCTGCCCTAAGTCTTCGAGGGCTACTGCACCATCATGCCAAACTGGGTCCCTATAATGCGCAACACATAATCACATTTCTAGATGCATTTCATGACGCACAGGATTGTACAGGATGGACCAGAGCAGCCCAGGTTTGTTGTTGTCTGGGATAATGTTAGTTTCCATCGGGCTGCTCTGGTCCAGAACTGGTTCACCAACCATGATCAGTTTGAAGTTGTATACTTGCCCCCTTACTCGCCATTTCTAAATCCTATAGAGGAATTTATCTCCACTTGGAGATAGCAGGTATATGACCCAACCACATGCACCGTATGCCTCTTCTGCAGGCAATGGAACAGGCCTGCAGAGACATTGAATTAAGGTCAATCCAGGGATGGGTTCGGCGCATAAGGGGATTTTTTCCCCATGCTTAGCGAGAGAAGACATTACTTGTGATGTTAAGCCCACTTTCGCAGAATTGTGTTTTTCTGTTTTTACTGTAGTGTATTGTTTGTTTTTTATTTTTGCTTTAACTGAATTTACTGTACTGTAAAATATACTAATGTAATGATTTTGAATTGAGTATTTCATTTTTTGGTTGTGAAAATGCCCTCTGTGGAACTGAATAAAAGCAGTGAAAACGAAAGACTGCAGTGTTTTAAATAAATTAGACTATTGTGTTGCTGTTAATCTGAAAGTGTATTCATATGTCATCCGAGTGACATTTTCACAAAGGATTGTTAGCTTTTGATAGCAGAGTTTCAATTTGACATAGATGTGAATGGTTTATTTCCCAGTGTTGTGTCTTATTTGCTTGTGTGTAGAGTTTTGACACAATGAGACAAGTTTTGCAAACGTATTCAAGCAAGTTTCTGAATTCTTGCATAATTCCAGCTCCATATTACCTGTTGGCCATGAGTCCAAACTGCCAAACAGGATTTTCTTAAGGAGGAGCTTCCCTTTTAAAAGCAAGGAGTAGAAGTGCCTCAGGTTTATTTGTTTGTTTTAATTGCTGCACCGCTAGCTTGCTGCTATGTGCCCAAGAGCCATGGGCCTATAGCCTGACTGACAGATTTCATTCATTCGTTCTTTTAAAAGTCTTTATGATGATTCCAAGTCTAGAGAAACACTAATGTTAGAGTGAAATCTCCAACTTATACTTGGCATTTGGCTCATCCTTATTTTAGATGCATCCATTCTTCATTTGACATATCAGGATAAAATAAATAAAAATGTTCAACAAGGATCAGTTCTTTGCTTGCTTTGCTTGACCCTTGAACTCCTGCTTGCTTGACATGTTGCTGAAAAAAACATTTACAGTAAGTCCTTAAGTGGATAACACAGAAGTGCATACAAATAATTTCAGAGTTTTTTTGGTATTTCCCTATGACAAGCCCTTAAATGTATTCTTATTATGAGGATTATTCTGGTAATACCATCCTTTTTTATTACTAGGAAGCTCTTCTCTAGAACAGACAAGCAGCTCAGTCTCACATGAGCTTGAGTCAACTCTGCCTCTGAGTGGCCATGTCTTCACATTACATTACATTAGAAATCTGACAGATTCTACTTCTGAAGTACAGGAGCAATGATACTTTAAACTCAACAAAAAGGAAGGCTAGGCACAGTTATTTTAGTTTTTTTAGTTAAAGCTGATAAAGACATCGATATGGAGGATAAAGCCAAAGAAGATATTTAAAAAGAGAAAGTTGTTTTACTATTTCGGGGAACCGGCACCTTATAGAGAGCACCACAAACTGGCTGCAAGGCTAGATCCATCACTCTGTATGCAGTTCTGTTAACATATCCATACTTTCAAGGTCTAGAGTGCATTTTATAGTGTAGTCTACATAATTGTCAACTTGAGCATACCTATTTACAGAGCAAGAGGCGGTGCTCACATGGAGCAGAATAACAAAAATGAAACTAAACTACTCAAACAATAAGCAATAAAGTGTTGCCGAGCAGGTACTTTATTCCTGTAAATACGTCCTTTAAAGCCACAATACGCATGGCACCATCTGGTGGTAGTGTCAAGAGTGACACTGTTGTTGTTTTTCCCATGACAAATCAAAACGTCTTCACATCTCTTTTCATTGAAAAAGCCATTAGTTATTTTGAATATCCAAAACCAAACAAAACAAGCTCAACACTGTGTGTGTGTAATATAGCTCTTTTTAATATTTATTCTTTAGACTCAGGGTAAACAGCTGATTTTTACAGCACAATTTGCATAATATCTCAACACATCCTGTGTACAATCACAAAACCATAACATTAGATTCTTTGTTTTTACACTGAGTGAAAAACAAGACAATTTTACAAGCATATTTCTTTACAGTCAGCATACAGATAAATCTATACATATTCAGTCTCTTTAACATAATCTGTAGGCAAAATATACTGACAAACCATCAACAAAACATGCAACATCCAAAACAGAAAGTCTCAGACAACTATTGAAGTTGATTTTTTCCCCCCCTCCCTTTGTGTTGTTTGCACAGATAGCCATTGGTTGACAGCACATGTTTTGATCACACAGTCAACTCCCCTTATACAACGATAGACTTGCATTGCTGTACAATGATTAAGTCTTTTGTGATTTTTTTCGACACTCACATGCTCAAACTCCAGACATATAAACATTCAGTCTTTGTAGAAAATAAACACTTTATGTACACATGTCAAAGGACAAAGGTCACATTCACACCCCTCAGAACAACAACAAATAGATGGTTTCACAATTACAGGCAACAGCTGATCTGAACAAACAGTATTTAGCTTGAGGGAAATCTAATGAAACACGAGGGGTTAAACAGTCATGGCTGAGCATAGAGGGAATATGTCTTATTTACTGTACTTTGTACACAGACTGTTAAGTAGACTAGGAGCAGGATGTAGTAAGGGTGATTTCTCCCCAGATTGTGCATTTTGTTTAGGAACCCCAACGTGTCTACATGTTTTTCTTTTGCCACATAGATACAAAATGCACACCACAATATTTTCTGCCATCACATACACCATGATTCAGTTCATATCAGTGCAGAAACACAAAACACATGATCCTGCATGTTATGACAATTAAGATGAGACAAGAAAATAAACAATGTAATCATAAAGTGCACGAGCAATTGATGTCGACAACTGTTAACATCAATTTATATTAAAATCAGTAAAAAACAAACAATATATTTAATATTTTCTTTCAATGATGTACAAATTAAATGTATTTTTCTATAAGACATATCTTTAGACCATATATTCACAGATATAACATTTTGTTCCAAAAAAACAAACAAATGCATCCAAACACATCTATGTTGCATAGAATTAAGAACCAATGGTTTTGGAATAAAAAAAATAAGGTTGGCACTGCAAAAGAATTATCTGAAAAATCCACCACGTTCTTCCCTTCCTCATTAAATTCTCTTTTTTTGTTATCCTTTGCTGTAAAATTTAAGTGACATCTGGTTCTAAGTGTGTTATCTCCTCTGTTATATTTGATTCTTAAAAAATTGCATCAGCCCTGTGATATACCTAAATACACTGACAGTAGTTCAGAGGGTCACTGATAGTGTTTTTTTATTTTATTTAATAGATAGGGTGGCAAAAGATTACAGGATGAATACATGGGTCACCTGCTCCACGTTAGTGCTGAGACGTGGCCCTATGCCTTCTTTTGACTTAAATATTACTGATCTCGAGTGGGCCTGAGTGAGTGTTTTGGTCACAGGCAGTGAAAGAGGCTGGTTCACTGTGTTGCAATGCAAGTCACTGACACAAAACAGCATGGTGAGTTTTACAGCACAGCCATAAACACAGAGGAACCTTGACATTTGACTGCTAAGAACATTTTTTTCTTAATTTTGAAATTATCTTTAGGTAAAACTCAGACGAGGGGGCTTTACTAATACACAGAAAGCAGAGCTGTCACACTGAAGTAAAGACAGTTGGAGATCTACATATGGGTTTGACACAACAACAGCCTTAAAGAAAAATGTTATACACATGACACAGATGTGATAAACTCTTGTCATCTACAGTTGGCTTGTAACATTCAAACACAGCATTTGTTTTGGACTTTGAAACAGAAAATGCCGTTCATGTTATTGTAATTCTAACCTGCTATACACAAAAGCATGCCAGTGAAATGGCAATAAGTCACTGGATGTTGTCCTTTACCCATAAAATTTTAATCTCTCAAAGCCCTGTTGCGTATCTATTGGTGTGTCAGTGTGATCAGAAGACAGAAGGAGCTATTTTTCATGAACATCCTTGAGCTCATATAGGTCCACATTCACATAACAGTGATTAAGACAGCCTACACCACAGACTAAAGAAGCCTACTGGATTGTCAGTGCGCCACCCGCAGCCTCAGTCTAACAGATATCATATGTCTATATTTTATTATATATAATCTAATGACAAGAGAACAACTCTTATACTGTATATTCTATTTAGATATATTCTGCATCTATATTTGTATATTATATAAACATCACACTGTACAATGTGATTCACTGATATGCTCTATTATCTGCATGTGTGATATGTACAATCTGAAGTGCTGTACATGTTATCTTCATCCCATAGCAAAAGTCAACTGTCTGACTCTTCCACATAGGCTTTTTTTTTCTTTTTACATGAACCTGACAGGCTGTCATACAAAAAACATTATGCATTCCTTCATCATTAAATATTTCAAGACCACTGATCACACACATCACAACCATCATTTGGGCATTACAACTGTGACTCTTGCATGGATAAAACACAATGCTAATTCAGTAGATGATTCTGTGGTCAAATGCACCTTTGTTTTTTTTGTTTTTTTTATCTTTCACTCTGATAGATATGTTAGCTCGATTGCACAGCACCAAAACAACAAAATCTCTTGTGGATTATGGAATTGGAATTATGGTAAGAAAGACATCACTGCTCTCAATGCCATATTGCTGCAGTGTCAGTTTCAGTGCCTGCTGTGGTATTTGCATGTTTGCATCCTACAAGCAAAGTCCACAGCCAGCAGAGACTCAACATGGGAAGAGGTGGACATGTGTGCTGGCAGTGTTAGACTGATACAGTTGTTACTGATAAATGATATTAGCACATAATTCCCTCCTTTTTTAACGTAGGAACTGAAGAAGTAAAGGAAGAATGAAGGAATTAAATTGATCTTTTTAGCTCCTCTTCTTGAACTTTTTTTGTTTCTCCTATTCACCTTTTTGTAAAATTGGATCTCTGAACTTGTACATTCTGACTTCACCTTTCATTGATTTATCGCATCCCCATCCTTTTGCCGTGGTGTTCAGGGGTTGGTCTGAGTGGAGCTGACGAACAACTTGTGCCAGCTGACCACCCGCTTCCTCATGTCCACCTTGTCCAGCCAGATGTAGGCTTCCCCTATCAGGGTCTTCTTCATGAACTTGCCTCCATTGGACACCAAGAAAAGCTGGAATACATTGGAGAGAGAGTCATGGCTTATTCTGTTGTTATCTGATTGTAAATGTTTAGCTCATGAACTCATTCTATCTTGAAACGTACACAGGAAAAAGCACATTATCCAGCATGAATAATGCAAGCACCATTGCACGAAGTGGTTACAAGACCACAAAATCGGATCAAAATATACCTTTTTCAATCAGGATGAAATGTGGTTATATAAGTCCTTAATTACGAATAAGACTATAAATAAATGTATTTGTATTTATTATACATTTCCATTCATTTTTCCCCCTTAGCATTGGCTGAAAAAGCAGTCAGTGAGCATAATATTGTAAGATTTGCTAATAGTCAACTGTCTGTGTAGAATTAACCTTTTATACACGCTACCAGCTACTTTTAGATGTTCATATCCAGCAGCCGACCAGGAGGTGGTTCAATCTCCCAGCTGCTAATTGAAGCATGCAGACCAGTTTATAAAACTTCCCATAATGAGGTTTAAGACTTTTTTTGTCAGATGTTACAAGCCTCCAGTTTTAATTAGCTGTAATGAGACATTTTGGAGATGTATTGGATTTCTGTCAACAGAAGACAGCTGGATGCACTGGAACAATTGGATGAAAACACCACAAATTGCTGCAAATCTATACCTGGAATATATATTTTCTATGATTGTTAGGCCAATCAGATATGCAAATAATGTATTTACACGTCATGCTTGACAGGTGGACAGAGCCAGATCCATCTGTCGGTCTCATTTTGCTTTCTGTACCTGTATGGAGTGTCCAGTTGGGTTGAGGGGGAATCTGAAGGTTTCATTGAAAGATGGCTCTCTGTCATGTCGACAAATTCTGGTCTTCTTCTTGATGATTCTCTTCTGAGTGGCTACATTCACCACATACAACTTCACATACAGGTCTGAGGGCAAATTAGATAAATGATGACTATGGATTTGTGAAACTGCAAATTAATAGAAACACACACACATATATATTCTCACTCCTGCATATGCACACATGCACACTACATCCAGACCTGGTAGGTGGTCTGGGCTTTTGAACTTGTAAGTGATGTTTCTGCATTGAAGGATCTCCAAGACTAGTTGGTCCCCTTCTGTTTTCACCTCCTTCTTGAGTGCAACCTTGATCTCCCCCATTACCTGTGTTTTACCACCTAAAAACAAGAATAAAAGAAAGATGTGGGTGATCAACTATTAGAATAAAAATGTCTAGCCTATATTTATTTTTTTAGATGCATGTTCTCCTAGGGTCACCAAAGATTATTTAAATAATTTAATAGCTATGCATTCCTAAACCGGGGCTCATCCAGGGAGCATTTTTGCTGCTTCACACGGGTCTTATCAACTGTCATGTGTCTCTTTGATATTAAAATGTAAGGATTTTACTAAGCGAGGCTGAGTTAAATGTGTATGAATCATTACACACACCATGTAAATTACCTCCCGATCCTCAATTGTGTAACAACTGCCAAGCTACAGTTCTACAGTTCTTGTTTTTTGTTTAAACAACAGATGGAAGGGAGGCATCATGACACCTTCACCTGCAGATAATGTGACATCCACTTATCTTCCACCATCCTGAGCCATGCATTAAGTCATTTTTTATTCACTTTTATTCACTTTTTTATTCATATTTAAGTCACTGTTATTTGACAATAAGCACTTTGCTGAACATGTGACTCCACAATAGATTATGATGTGGTTAAAGGGGCAATATGTAGTTTTCAGCGGCCACCAGCGGTGTGGTTTTAATCAGGTGTGTGCTTGCACGCGTGCTCAGCTCAAACTTAGCAAGCAAAATCTGAAACACAAGCGCTTTCATAAGAGAACCTGCAAAAAACACAGAAACACCGTAATGCTGGCTGTGGCTTTTCATACAGACACAGGCTGTGTTACTACCAGTTCCCGGCTCACAGGCAGATCAAATCAAACCCCATTTCCAGCTTCGTAATGTTACCTTTCAGACAAGGTAGTGAGCTGGCATTTTGGCACAATATTCCTGGAAAAAAGGCAGTGTGAAAGCGGCTATAGACAGACTCACAAAGGAGACAGTTCCAAACAACATGCTGGAAACTCAGGTAAACTCCCATTGCAGCATTACAGTAATATTTTTCAATCCATGCTCATTTCTTGATAACATTACATTGAATGCATATAGCCAAGGTGTAACATCAGCGTCAGCTTGCCTGCCGCTTTTCAGTAACCAACGTTATTTGTGTATCTTTCACCAGAGGCTCAGCAATGTCAGCACAACTAAATGTATTGAATGATAACGAAATGGTTATTGAACTATACTGAATATTATAATGAGATAGTTGCCACACTTTATAACAGACCACAGTAAGTAATGTTACTGTAGTGAATGGGTCTTCCACTGTGTTGTTGTCCTGTGCCATTATGTTGCAGTATTCTATGAGAAGGTGGAGAAGCTGTTTACCTGAGTATCGGTAAAATGACAATAAATCAAAATTAAAAGTTACAAAGCAAACACCGTAACTTAGATACGTGCTAATGTAACGTTAGCTGGCTGCCCCTGTCTGCATCACTGTAGGCCAGTATAAACAAATCGCTCCACATTTGCTTTGTAACATTACATCCAGTGCTTAATTTGTGCCAGAGCGAGCACCGCTCCGATACCTCTGAGTTTAGTGAATTTAGAATAGTGGCTGTTGCAAGCAACAGAGAAAACAGGCTTCACTTCGTGTGCTTCATTTCTAATTAAGGTTACAGCCCATTGACCAAAAGGAAGTAAAAAATGATTTATTAATTAGAGATTTAATTAAAAAACTACATATAGTCCATTTAAGTGAGTTGCTGGGTTAATAAAATAAACAAAAAAAAGTGTTATACAAAATCCCCAGCAGGTGGAGATGTATTACCAAGTAAGAAAACACCAGAAATCATGTGTTTTAGTTTCACAGCTATCAAGATTTTTTTTTTACATTTACAGGACATTTATGGAACTTGCCTTCATTTTCTGGGGTCCCTAGTTGGTTTTTGTCAGTGCCATTAGGAATAGTCTTACCACTGTGAGAGAAAAAAAAACATATGAGCACTGCTTTATTCACAAGAAAATGTGCCAGCATCAGACATATTGAATGACAACGCAATACTAGGCATTACTGTCTGCTATAAATGCGTCACACATGGTCTTACATGCGTGGCACTTGAAAAATGGCACTGTCCACTCCAGTGCCTGTCGCCTCTTCCCCATCCAGACCTCCATAGGCGTCTCCCACAAGACTTGGGGCAGACAGCACCACTGACCCTGAGACATCACCCAGTCGGTGTCCTGGTCCTGAGGGTGGCAAGAGAGAGTGTGATGGTAAGGAAATATCTATCGATCTATTGATCTATCTATCTATGTTAATTACAGGAAAATATTTGTACACAGCAACAAACACAGAGTGTTTTCACTGACTCAGCTTTTACCACACATGCATGCTTGTCCAGCAAATCTTTTGAAACACTTCACACCCCCAGCTATTGCTCACTGACAGTGATGCTGTCTGTCACCCATAACTTTGACTTAGCATCACATAACAGCATATCAGGGGAGGAACAGATCAACATAGATGACAGCAGTGTGTAACCTTGGTTAATTCCTGAAATCCCTTCACTATAAATAAATGAAGGTCACTAAGTTTAATTCACAAATGAAAATTAATTTAGTGTGAGTTCTTTCATAGACTTAATTATTAGTTCTTGGCTCCTGGCTGCTGTGCTCATACAGTATGAAAGAGCGTGATAGGGAATATGTGAAGTGTTTTTGTCTGAGGGTGGATACATTCTTTGCCTTCATGGTCACAGTGTCCACTGCCTTGCTTTACAGTAAAATGATGAGTAATTATTAGGTTATGTTTGAAACGCAATCTGTGACTTAATGGAAATAGCTGGGAATTCCATTTCTATCTCCATGAAAACATGATTATATCAATAACAAAAGCATATGAAAAAGACGTACGGACACACACCCATGCACACTATCAGACATTCACAGACTTACATATATGAAAATCATTAAATGAGAATTAATTTGTTACTTCAGTTATTTACACATTTGGTTATGTAGACTTAATTATGTTTTGTTTTTAGTTTTATTGCATTATTATGGTTACAGTAATATGGTAGGGATATTAATATTTATCAATATATTTTTCCTATGTTGCCTCACCTTCCCTTGACACTTCTGTTCCTCCTATGGTTAGCTGACCGCATTACTCTCATTGGCCGGTGAGTGCAGAGTGAGCCTCCTGTTGACTTTTGAACCTCTTGGTCTTTTTTTTCCTGGTTTGACTGCTTCAGTTTCACATTTGTGTCTCCTTTGTTTTAGGCGGTGGGTTTGGGAGAGGATTGGGAAGGAAGGGGAGCCTGTGTGCCATACCTGTGTGTATCTGTGTTTGTCATTCATATGGCACACGCATGCACACACAGAGAGAGACTACAGCATCACAAAGTCCTCAGTGGCCAGGGAACAGTAGCCAGGGAAGCTGCAACTGCATGCTTAAATAGCTCTGTCACTGGGTTAACTTATCTGCAGCATACGTTTTCATTTTAAAGGACATCACACTAAGGATTATGCATAAACATCAATGGATATTGTTTAAATCATGTTAATATGGTACAAGGCATGTAAGGGATTGCCATCCCAGTTTGGTTTCTATACTGGGGTTGGAGATCGCCTCACTGGGGTTCTGTAGAAACCATATGCTTGGGATTGGCACATGCACATATCATGTAAAAACAGAGGGGTCTGGGGCTTTTATTTAGGAACTAATTTTTCTTCTGTGTTAATAACTTAACAACTGTAATATTTAACTCTATGTCCTACTTAAGATACCCAAATAGGCAGCAGAAATGTTAAACACATTGAAAATATCAAATACAATATTTGGAATATTTAGTGCACTGAAATAGCCAGATTTATAAATATTTTATTTTAAATTAAAATACTGAATGAAATAAGATTTTTACGCCAAGTTTAAGTTTTGATATATTTCCTTTTTATCAGCCTTGGATTTTGTTTAGTGACTGTATGAGACAGATCTAACTTGGAAGACACATAAATTGAACTTACATGACTACTAAACTAAGATTATGGACCAGAAAAAAAAAGTAAGATGAGGAGAGCAGAAGGCAAAGGTAAAATGTTAAGGAGGTGAACGTACAGCGGTCCAGGTTTTCATCAAATGATCTCAATAAATCTTTCATGCGCAGGAAAAAGGAAGCATGTCACAGGAAGTGTATCATGGGTAGGGGCAGGATTTACTTGGTTGCAGGCGGGACTGTTGCACAGCAGCCTCTGCGGCAGCAATGGCTATCCCAGCATCCTCAAGGTGGGCCTGAGTGACGCTGCTCTTGCTTTGGCTTCGGGAGGGGCCATGGGAGCGGAGTTGGCCATCAGAGGAAGACTTGGAGCTGCCTGGGCTGCTGTGTGACTTTTCCAAGGGCATCATCTGCATGTCTGGAGGAAGATGAAATACAGGGTTATGACTGCTAATAAGACAAGAGAAGAGATGTAGATAAAAATTAATCCACACTGTTAACAGTATCTGCTCCACAGCTCCTGCTCCTGTTTGTGCCATGTAACAGTTGACAAGCACATGTAGTGTAATTACAGCTGTCAAGAAATGATTAGCATTTGTTTATATGGTAACAGTCTTTATCCCTAAACTTATAAATTAATTTTTTTGTCGCAGACCTGCCTAAGAATAATGATATCAATGTCATGTCTTACCAGTTCTATGTAAATTATGTAAATAGTGTATCTGAGTACTTCCCAGGCTAAAAACAGGTACATATAGGGGATTCTTTTACCTTTGGCTGGATCGGGGAAGATTCCATGACTTCTGCTCTTTATCACAGAGTTTTTAGGTGAATCATGAGTCCCATCTCCCTGTCCTGGTGCTTGACTCTGTCCCATACCATGCCCAGGCCCCATACCAGATCCTGACATATGGCCCTGGCCTTGGCTGTGTCCTTGACCTGGCCCAGACCCTGGTGGGCCTTGAGCAGCATGGTGGGCTCTGCTGTGCTCAATGCTCTCACTCTGCTCCTTCAGAGGCAGCCAGCGAGGAGTGTTGTCTAGCTGGGTTGTGTTTGACAAGTCAATCAACACCTGGGACACAATGAACATACACATAAAGAGTGACATTGACAAAAAAAAAAAAATTAGCCAAGTCCAACACTCAGGCACAACATGTAGAAAAATACTCACTGATACAAGGGAACAAGGAAAGGAACTTATACGAAGGTAGATAAGAAGCTTCACAGCATAGTGTGTGCAAACATTCTATTTGCTAAAGAATTGTAATGTATAGTGCATTTAGCACAAGACGAATAGGACTGCTCACTATACAGCTTTACAAGCAAAGCTTGACTTCAGAGTTTGTGGGAGGAGAGAGATCAGGCTGACATTATTAGGTTGTTTTAAGAAAAGCTGGTCTATTGACAAAAATAAAGCAGCAGAAACCTTTTGTGTGAGGTAAATACTAAATGCATTTGACATTTTCAGACATGGGATTCAGATTCAAAAAGCACTCACTTCTCCAAGGAAGTCATTGGAGGAGGATCTGTCATAGTCCCACACTGTCACCTCCAGTGTTTTTTTCTTTAACTGGATATAAAAAGTGAAGAAAGGGAAAGAAGGGCATAGAATCATGATGAGGAATCTCGTGTGCATATGTATGTGTGAGGGAGAGAAATGTGTACCTTCTGTGTGAGTGTGTTTGTGTGCATGTGGGTGAAGGAAGCATGAAAGAAAAAAGCGGTGTGTACTTCATGTACATTGCATGACATAATGCAGACCTACCATAGAAGTGCCATTTAATGCAATCAGCAAGAAAGACAGGAGTTATATTAGATTTAGTTTGTTCCAATATATGTACTTGTATGTGTGCGTGTACCTTTTGATGTGTATGTGTGCATAGGAATGTGTGGGAGGAGATGGAAACATATCTCAGGAGCGAGCGGGTGAATAAGCGATGCAGCAGCATTTTTAGGATGAGGCGTGATTAACAGAAGGAAGACCCAGAGGATCCAATGAATCCCCCTGCCTTCACAGAAGGCCTGTCTTCTCTGACCACTAAAGCTATCACATCTGCCCTCATCCCTCACAGTTGTAATTACTGTCTGGGTGCTGTCTCTGTCGCAAACAACACATGCTCTTAGCAAACACAGACATTCATGAATAGACGAACGCACTCATATACACAGTAATACTTGCACAGTGACAGACAAGCACACAAGCACATTACCACGTTTCTGTCACTGGTTTTGTTAAAATGACACGTTAGTTATCTGTGTTCAAACTGTGAGAGGAGAAATGATTGTTGTTAACTTTAGTCTTGGGAGTGCTGATAAGAGGTTGCACAGGGATGCTGAGAACAGCCCTCGGGGACAAGACACAAGGACAGAATCCTAGTAAGAGTATAAGACATCTACTTCACCCAAAGTGGCCCACAGCACATACAATAACTGCACAAGCAAGGCAGAGTGAAAGTTTGTGTGTGTGTGTGTGTGTGTGTGTGTTAATGTCGCTCTGCATGGTACCTGCTCCAAATGAATGTTCTTGTAGATGACAGTCTGGTTCCATTCTGGGTTCATGGTCTTCTGGGCATACCTGGTCCTTCTCTTGTTATCAGCACTAATAAGTCATGATATTCAGAATGATTGGTTGTCAGTAATACATTAAAATGTCTCTTCCCTGCCTGACCCCATGGCAAACATTCAAACTATGACATATTCAATAAATTTGGACCGAATAGATGCTTGTAAAATAGGCAATCTCCTGTTGTGGAAACAGAAGAAAGAAAGAAATTTAAATGTAAATGTTTATTTTAATTGTCTGTTTTGAGTAAGATGCTTCTACAAAATCACAAATTGCTCCAGAGATAGAAGCTGAGGGGAGTTAAAAGTGAGAGGCATGGAGAGAAAAAGCGATGACAGGAGTGTTCTGAAACACCATGAAATAGAGCAGATAATTTGACGAACAACAAAGGCCACAACAAAAGGATGGAAAACCACTTTGTAGACATAATTTACAGAAAGAAACATAACATAAAACATATCACCAACTAAAAGCAAAGATCAGCACCACACTACCTTGCATTCTGGACAACCATGACTTGTCTGAGGGAGTCCAGAAGAGGAAGAGGAGGGCAGATATCACAAACAAGAAAAGCAAAAACACAAAAAACAGTCAGAAAAGCCCAGAGAGCTCAAAGAAAAGGCTGTAAAGGATAGAGAGCTGAGGCAATCAATATTTTCTGCAGGGTGTATCACTGTTTTTGTGCCAAAGCAATGTATGTGACGCAAGATAAAAAAATTACTGAATTGAATGACTAATTCCCTATTCTGAGCTTTTGTTAAGATACCGTGGCCGTGCACTCCACTGCTAATGTCAGACAAATACATTTAATAATGTCCCTCAAATGAAACAGCAGGAGAATGAAAGTGCTCTCCTACGAAGATTCCATTTCTAACCTATATATTGTGTAGGCAGAGGGGGCTTATAATCTCATAAACAGGTCTAATGGGGTCATTATCTAAGAGCAGATACTGTTACAGAGCAGATAAAGGTTGTATCGATCCTTTCTTTTGCTATTCACAGGCTCTTTGGGAGGCAGTGGAGCAGACAGGGATAAGAGGAGGAAGCCTGGTACACAATACTTAGGGACTAAACTACTCAACCCAGCGAAAAGTAGGTAGAGTAAGAAAGAGCTTGTGAATTCAGCGAGAGTATGTTTTTACACAGATAGGCTCTATGACCATGTTTTTTGGTATGACTAGGCAATTTGGCGCATTATAATGCTGCAGTAGGGTAAAGGATCTCCTCTCCCAGCTAAGTATGAAGCCTAAAACACCCATGCATTGATTCATAGAGATTGAATCACATTGAATCAAATTACACTACAAATGACTGCCTCATATCATCATGTCCAGTCTCATTCTCTCATACAAACTGAAGTGGTTAGTCAGTTCCATACAGCACAGTCAATACAAAGTCAGAAAGAAATAGGGGGAGAGAAAACAAGACAGACACAGAAGCAGAAAGGGAGACACAGACCAGACATACGTGAACACTCAAACACACTCAGAGAGCTCACCCTCTCCCAGGTAAGAGGTAGACCTTGACAAAAGGGTCAGAGTAGCCGTCATTGTCCCTCTGGGCCAGGTTTCTAGCCTGCAGGACGTGGACGATCAGGTTTCCTAGATTCCTGTCATAGTTGATCTGGAGCTGAGGAAACAGAGTGAAGTGGAGGCTTCGTGAGAAAGACCAAACTCTAGCTGGAAAAAAATTATCTAGTTCTTAGTGTTTTTATACCTGAATTTCTCCAGTGATGGGATGAGGCATCTTCATTACCTCTGTTGGCTACAAAAAAGTGGGGAAAAGCATTCAATGGTTGTAAATTTATTGTTTCATGTTTCATCAAACAGACACAGAAAACAGTCAGAAAACAAGACAGAAAACAAGACTTCAGTCATTACCCTGGGATTAGGTTGCAGTAAATGGTTCTCTGACTTCACTCTTGAAATATGTATCGTCAGCTGACAGATGAATGGGTTGTCCTTGTAGGAGATGTGCCGAACAAAGATTTCTCACTGAATCTATGAGCCTCAGGAGAGATTTAACTATCTGAGCCGTGCAATTGACTGGAAAAGTCCTCCACTTGTTTGAGAAGGTTAATCAATTATTTGAGGTACTAAGACATTAATAAGAATTGCCCTTTTCCTTTCAGACAATATCAAACATATGTAACACTTGATTTAGATCGTCTACCTACAGATAGTTTATAGAGTATTTGTAACATTTCAACTGTTTGTCTGCAGATGATTAACAGATTATTAATACAGTATATGTGAAAATTCATGAACATACTCTAACGAAGATGTTCCTTGTGCCTAAACCTAACCAAACCTAGAAAAAGATTCAATTTGTGAAGAAGCTGCATTGTTGAATCTCAACTGCTAGGCTGTTGAAATGTTACACATGCTCTATAAACTATCTGTAGGTGGACTATCCAAGTAAAGTAAAATATATTTATATTGTCTGTTTCATATTTTATGCTAGGTATTCATCACCATTTGTGTTACATAATGCATCCTCTTTTTTTCTATCACATGCCTTTCAAGAATCAATCATTTATACTTTGTTTATAATGAAGCGCTTCCGCATATACTTCCCATTTCTTTTGTGTAAAGGACACCCACACCCAGAGTCATGTACTGTAGCACGCTATTTTCTTGTTCCATTATAATTATCCTGTCACTCATGGATAAACACAGTCACGTCACACAATTTGACCTTCACAACATGCCCTTCGTGTGTTGTGTGATGTAAAACTACTGGACATGCATGATAAATCAGACAGTGTTCCACAGACTGTAAAACAGATCCATGCTATTATTAATTCAGACTAGAATTATATTAACGTATCAACCTCTGACACATGAACCAGTTGTTTACTGTCATCCCATGTTAAACTGAACTCTTCACAACTGAAGAGTGTGTCGTAGATGAGCAAGTACAAGCAGGCTAACAAGTCACTACCTTGTGTCGTTGTTTCTTGTTTATGGCAGGGGATGCAGGCTGGCCGGGGCTTGGCACACCACTGGAGGCAGCCGATCCAGTACCTGAGTGGAGGAGTGCAGAGCGCTCCAATGCAGAGAGGACCCCCAAACCCCCAGGCCCAACCCCTGTTCCAGCCACACCGGGAGCCTGCTGCTGAGACACCTTCTGCAGTTCTGCAGCTAACTGCTTAGGATCCACACCAGGGGAACGCTGACCACCTACTGAGACAAATGTGTTTAATAATGCACATTGTATTTATGTGAAATAGGTACACAGATACATGCAGACATGCAGACATATCAACAAATCTTTGTACATACCAGCCTTAAGCTGTACATGGTGCTCCAGGGCTTGTGGGTGCTCAGGGTCAGACAGCATATTAAGGTCGCTGTTTGGATCCATACAGGACATTTATAATAGAATATCAACCAGTGTATCTTAGCAGTAATCAGTCATGTAGTGATATTTGTCAGATGAAGTGGTGTGGAATGAGGGGAAGGGAAAGGAGGGAGGAGAAAAGGTGTATATGTGTGCAGTTACCATATTGCGACTAAACATGTTGGAGTTTCAGTGGGATAGAGGGCTAAATGATGACAGATGTAACTCACAGTCTCACACAGAGCTCCGCCTCTGCACATGGCTGGCCAATGAAGCACTGCACTTCTTCATAAGTCTTTCCCGTCAGAGGGACTCCATTCCACTCTAACACCTGCATTCCTGCAATGTGATAAATGCAGATTCAAAGACAAAAGGGTGATTTCAGTTCTGAGGCAATATCTTATAACTTGTGGCAAATTAATTTCACCCCATCTCTACACATGACACATGGTTCAGTCTGGATAGTGCAGCCCACATGCTCACACAGCAGAAGTAAGAATTCAATTGGTAGTACACCCAGTGGAAAACTCTGATCAGTTGATTTTTTATTTGGTTTTTGTGTTGTATTTTACATAATGCCTATTGCATAATAATAGCATTACACACAGCACAGAAACATTAAAGTAGAGTTTTGCACAAAATGTTTTTCTTCTCACAAAAAGAAGAGTGTGTCAAAACAGCAAATGTCAAATGGTATATCAATGATATAATATACAAAAGTCACTGCACAGCAAACTCAAACGTCCAACCCAAGTGCAGAGCTCACTTACACAACTGAAATCTGGTCTTCAAATTAGACTTCTGCTTACAAAGCAACTCACCAGCTGCTGAGACAATAAATGCTTAAATTAATATTGCTATATCCTTTTTCATAGGCCAGTGCTCATAGATTATGAGATTAGATTAGATTATTCTCTCTGCTCCGTCTATATAATTTGCTGCCTCCTCCCCCACTTTATTTCTGTTTGCACCTGAAGGCATGTTCTGCTGCCATTTTCTTTCAGTGGAACATAAACATCACATTTGCATAGTTACTATTTAGCATAGACTAGAACGTAAACACTGCCAGCTTGACCACTATTCCTATTTCTTTATAGCAACAAATCTTATTATTTCGAAACAAAAAAATGAAAGAAATACATCAGACCAAGATGAAATACATTAGCTGATCTGTCCTTCACTCCCTCCCTTGTGCAATAGCAAAGTCAGGGCAGTTTCTATGGTGGAGTTCCCATTGAAGGGGTGAAACTAGAACTAAATCTGTCCTAAAAATATCTTTAAGCTGTGGGAATTGGGCTCTTCTTTATCCAAACAACAAACATTAGAAGATCAGCTTTTAGAAAATTCAAACAACTTGAGTACAACAACAAATTGAGAAGAGATTTTTGAACATTCATAAAGACATAATTATTGTGTATGTGTGTTTGTATATGCCTGCCTTTATGCATTTGTGTGTCTTTAATGATGCTAAATATAGCCTAATGACTAACACAGCCCAGTGCTGTGGAGGGTGAGTTGACAGGCTTTTCTGTGTTTGGATGTGATGTGTCTGGGAATGAGACATGACAGACCACAACACAGAAGGCTACTGCAGCCTCTCACATTTCCATCTAGAATTCAGTGATTTAGGCTGGGATTTTTGTTGAAGGCTTACACTAAACTAATAGTTTAAAGATTTGCGTTTGCACCACTAATCTCTCTGAATTATGTTTCATACTATGTACAGTATCTTACCAAGGAATGAAGGAAATACGTTTCTTTTTCCCTACTATTCCAAAATTAACATTTTATTTTTCATGTTTTCATTCCAAATGTGAATGTTGTATTTCTTAGGGCAGATAAACTCTCATCTATACCACCTCCTTTTGTAATTCTCCTCTTACCCTCTACAACGTTTCCTGTTTGCTCTGCCACACCACCAGGGATAACCGTGGCAATGTATGCTCCAATCTCACCCCGGCTCCCCGGAATCTCCTTCCCACCTACCACACGGATCCCTAGTCCATTTCCTGAGGGAAAAATAAACATACAAATTCTAATTAGCAAAACTAGAGAATGACTGTGTGCATAACCATTATGTAAAATGTCTGTGTGTGTGTTATACCTGACACACTGGTGTCATTCAGGTCTCTCTTGAGCTTGATGCGAGTGTGAGGGAAGGCATAAGGGACCAGTTTCATCTGAGAGAGATTTTGAAAAATTTATAGCATGCAGAAAATAGATTCCCTTACAGAAGACAAATCAGGTTTTCATGCTGAAAATCATTTAAGTAAGGAAACAAAATAGTGTGAAGTTGGAATGTATTAGCTTGGATCTCACCTGTCTCCTGTCTGACATGTTTCCACTCTGTGGATGCCCTTCTCTTGGCTTATCAAACCAATCTGTGTCCTCTCTCCTCAGGTGGTAAGCTAGGCAGGGGGAGGTAGTGGTTAAAAGCCATGCACACACAAACACACGCACCTACTAATAACAACTTGGGCTGAGCTCCATCTTGCAATCAAGCTTTGCAGACCTTTTCTAGTATGCATCACAAAGTTTGTCACACATCCATCCCCGTTTGCTGAAATGTATGAAGATCTCTGATCTGTCCTGACTGGATAGGTGAAAGCAAAGAAATATAAACTCTGTTTCACTCTATCTATACCATCAGTGAGATCAAATAATCAATGCAAACAGTGAATGAAGGATGAATACATTTCAAGAGCTTTTTAAGTTTGGCATGCTTTGGACACCATGCAATGTGATGGCTCGTTTTCGTCCACTTTTTCATAGCTGCTGTTTATGAAACATTGCTTTTGAAAGAAACGCTAGAAAAGTATGTATTATGCAATTTAATAATTTAAGTCAAAACACTGTGGGTTGGAGTTGTCCCATTGTGCACTTTTATTAATTTAATAATCATAATACATTTCATTTATATAGCCATTTGTCCAAACAACTATATTTTTTCTGAATAAATTTATTTGAGGGTTGAGAAGGGAGAAATATCCACACAGTATGAAGTCCATACATTGTAGCTTATGATATAGGACCAATAATCAATACCTTTTAAGCATGATCTGTAACATCTGAAAGGTATTGGACGTCTTGTGTCAATTTTAGCATTATCATAGAAAAGCTCAGAAAACTTCAAATATCTATAAAGTATAAGGAATCTAAAACCATGGTAACAAGGCAGGTTGGTGGGGAATGTTCTACATTAGAAATGTGAGTCATCAATTTGGTGTTCAATGCAATACATTGTCACTTGGAAATAATGTGCATTGGTCTGCCAAATGTCTCTTTGTAATACCACTGATCTAATTCCAACAGGGAGATGAACCAATAATGATGAAGCGAAATGGCCTAATGACCATTTATGCTGAAGGTAAATGATAAAAGTGGCCTGTTAGCTACATATCTTGAATTAGAAAGCACAGTTTTAGTATTAGAGATTTCAGTGGCATCAACCTTCAGAATTGTACAAACATTTTGAAAAAAAGCCTTAACATATATGCACTCAAACATATTTTTGTGGCAACACTTATGCGTGGTCAAACAATGTACATGTGATTTTTATTTTTTAAGTGCATGAACATGAATACTGGAAATGGGTCTGATATGCTTACAGAACCACTGTGATGTGCAGGCATTCCAAAATGATGTATAACTGAAGTCACTAAAGTATATGACACAAAATATATCTAGTGTCATTAAGATGGGGTTCATTCCGGAATGGATCTGACATGTCAACTACTAAAAAACTGCTAAATGACATGTATTGTATACTATTGAGATGTGGGTCATTCCAGAATGAGTCTGGTACATTTAAAAAATCAACCAGAGAAGTGGATCATTCAGAACCATGATATGCAGCATACAGTCTCTATGTAACTACATGGAAATTGGGATGCTGTCTCACCTTCTATATTCCAGTTTGGGCCTCCAGCTGGGGTACAAAGTAATATGTTTTTTTCAGATATGTGTTCAACATTTGTTTATTACTCTAACAAACTATAGGAACAGACTAGATCTGTATTGTGAGACACGTACTTCAGCACATGCACTGAAAGCAGTAGTCAATGTAAGATGCATGCTTGAAATTACTACAAGTCTGAAATATTAGCCTGGCAGTTGTCAGTCTGACAGTTTACACATTTAAGCAAAAGCACTATGAAAAACATAAAATACATGTTTTGGGAACAAAGTCATCTATTAATTAATGTAAGATTGAGCCACATTAGTACCATGTAAGTAAGGGGTTTTAACTAGTACTAGTAGTAGTAGTAGATACTCTACCGTGTCTGATACTTTCATGAAAGATTCTGGCATCATCTCTGTTCAAAGTCAGCATGGACTCACTTAGCGCTGTAATCAAGGCAGATGGACACTTTCAAATGGGGTCAGGACAAATATCACTTTCTTCAAGAATTTAACTATACTAATCCTTCGTAAATGATCCAGAAACAAAGCTAAAGTTGCTAAACATATTTGTTAGTTATGTATCATTAAACAATGATTAATGATTAAATAATGATTGATAATCAACCTGTACAACCTGACATTAAACCCCCTTAAACTTAGTCCTAATCATGCAAGTGTGTTGCAGAAGCCACTGACCTTTCATATTGTTTTTTGTGCTGTGTGAAAGTTTATTTGTTTCTACTAAATGCTTAACATACTGTATATTAAATCTTAATAATAATTGACTAACTTTTCATATGGCATATTGATAGCTACACAAATTGATTTACCTAACCTAATGGAACACTACCAATCCCACACTTAGGGAGATGAGGATGGTCAATATTTACTGTCAATCACAAGGGGACATGGACGTCTCACATAGCAATGAGACATCCACAGCAACAAACAACAAGGAGAAAACATTCACTTTATTAACATGGAAAAACATATGTATAGCAAAACATGCATGGATGCAAAATCAGATACAGATAGAAAATAAAATATATATAGAAACACATGGACATACAGTCACACACAACACAAATGAGACACAATAATATGATGCTAAATGTAATTTTCAACAGTACACATAACTACACGGTAGTCCTTGAGAGATTGGGTTGACAATAACTTCTGCAAATTGGATTACTATTAAATTGGTAGGTGTGTTAACTTACTTGGCAGGAGTGACTAACTACACAAAATAAATGCCTTGACTGCACCTGCAGAACACTTAAGTATATCCAAACACCATGATTCAGCAGTATCCCTTTAAAATTTCTGCTGCTAGTTGTTCTCCAAAGTTGCTAAAAGGGTCAATGACACTATTTTGCTTTGCGGATTGGTGGGGGAGGGATGGAAAAAAGAAAGAGAGAATCCCTAGACACTTCTTATAATTACTTCATGTGAAAGTCCTTTACTACAGGTGTCTGCAACAAAACCAATTTCAGGTATATACAGCATCTCAAACAATCTAAATGCCATTTAACAAACATTTTTCATGTAAAATTTGCATGATTTAATGTTTATGAGGCACTTCAATAACTTACACATTTTATGGCTTTTAGGGCTTTTTTTTAAACACAAAACTTAATCTTGTATTAAAAAGTTTCCTTTGTATTTCACTTTTAAAAATTGAAAAGCACTCTGATGTTCTAGCCCACTCATGTCTGAATTATGTGCCACGACCTATCTTAACATGAATACTTATGCAAGAGTGAATTCACTCTATGTGCACAGTGTAGATACTTTGTTTACATTGACTGTAAAAAATGTGTTATTAAATGTAATAAAGTTTGGGCTCTCACTAAGAATAAGGCAACTGTAACGTGCACAACAGGTATGAATAAGTTCAAGCCCATAGATTTTGTGCGTGCTAATTGTTTTAAGAGTAAGGATGATCATACAACTGTAAAGAAGTAAAGCTATTGCAAAATGAAAAGATAAAGTATGCTAATGAAATAACACAAAACAAATGTGAATAGAACTAATCAGTGACATACATAAATTCAGGCCGAGAGTTTTATGTATCGGTGAGTAAGATATTCAAAAGAAAGGACATAGCATGCAAACATCTAATGTGAAATTCACCATCACAGAGGGAAATACAGTAACCAACAACAATTATCTGGAGAACCGATAATTGAGAAAGAGCCAGTTAATGCACAAAGTCAGTAAGACTACTCAGTATTAGCATGCGTTACAAGCAGGTCCACACAGCTGAGGTGATGGAACAGTGTCAGACTCCTATTTACCTTCGCTGTCCGACATGGCACCTTGCAAGTCATCCATGATGAATGCGATGTCTCGATCATAGCCCCGCGTTCGAGATTCCTCTCTCATATGTTGCTGTACCTCTGGCAGGGAATGGCTAGACCCAAATTGATCCCTGGAGTCAGCAGAGATGGGAGGGAGAGGTCCAGCTGAGGCTCTAGCCATACCCATTGGCTGCCCCACTGGGCTCAGAGGGCTCTCCTCCTCAGAGTTCTGAGCCACAATGGGGATACGGCCCCGGCTCTGGCTGATAGGTAAACTGGTGGGCTTTGCTCTGGCCACCCCAGGGGCAAATGCTGCATCTAGGACCTCTCCCTCTGTTTTAAGTCTAAGTGAGGAGCTGGATAGGTCCCGTTTGATGGATAGATCCAAGCCATAGACAGAAGAGGGGCGGGAGGAGGGGCGTGATGAGGGTCGGGAGCGGGTGCCACTTGGGTAGGTGCCATCATCATGGGTAGTAGCCCTGATAGTGGATCCCAGGCCAAGGGACTGTCCAAGATTAAGAGAACCAGCTAGATTGGCCCCCAGGGAAGAACCCAAATATTTTTGCTGCTCAGACAAGTTCTTTCTTAGCCCAAATGTAATCTCATCCTGAAGCAACCTTGCTGTAGCCGCCAGATTGGTCACAGAGGAGGCCCCAGATCCCATGTAGCTACCAAAGTCAGGCTCCAGGTCCCTACTCTCTTGAATTGGGGAAAATTTTGTAATGGCCTTAGGGTCTATTAGGGCCTTTTTGTTCTTCATCTGTTTCTGGTAGAGCACAGCTGCTGGAAGTTGCTTTGCAGCCTGTTTTTCAAGGGTGAGCCTGCCAATGCTATATTTCTCTCCTTTAGGGAAGTGTCGAAAACTGCTATCGCTGGGGAGATACTGAGGCAGACCCAAGCCTGTTAAGTGTTCTAGTCCCTCAGCTCCTCGCCTGAACTCCTGCTTGATTTGCTGCTTCAGTAGCTTCAGCTCATAGGGCTCCTCCATAGTGTCATCTTCTCCTTTGCCATAACCCTGAAGCCGAGATGAGCCTAAAAAATCTGCCACCTAAAAGGGAAAAACAATATGTGACACATTGAGTGTTTTCTCAACAGTAGTGTAAATTAAACTCACACAATAACAAATCCATTTTTTATGTTACATATACCTCAAGAATAAGTTGTCAATGACACCTATACAGAAGGGGCCAGACTGATCTGTTATGTCTACATTTGTTTGTAATTGTTTTTCAGTGTGAATAGTGTTGATGATGCTTGTTGCACAGGGCTATTGAGCTAGTTCTTCTCTTCCAAATGTGTCTATACTGACATACTGTATATGCAAAGTGTGAAAAGGCTGAACCTTTAGGAACAAATGAATACTTTTATAGACATGCTTTGTTTTGCTGTATTCTGAACTAGCTTCAAAAATTGCATCACAGCAACAAAAGTATAGTACGCCAATTTTGAAATTTTGTATGGTCAGTGACGGATTAGTGAAACAGCACCCTAAAAGGTATATACACGAGGAGTTGAGGAAGGTAAAATAGAGTATAATGTAACAAAATAGTTTTTACCTCTGCTGTGCGCCTGACTTCTGCTGCCCTGAGAAGTCTGTCTGCCTTGGACAACTCCTTATCAGGCAGGTTGAATCCAGAACCCAAGCTGGTGTTGCTTAGCCCCGTTGAGGCCTTGGTGAGCTCCCCTATGTCCTCTATCAGCACATAGTTCCTTGCATTGTGGTGGTCAATATCGGCATAGAAGGAATCAGCAGAAATGCTAGACATCGGACTAGAGGCCATGCTCCTCTCCTCTAGCCCTAGCCTCAAGTCCAAGTTGCCATACTTGCCCCCCAGATGAGCCACCCCATAGCCACTTTCTGTGGAGGTTGGCACAATGAGCAGAGGCTGGTTGCGTATCACTTCATAGTTGGTGGTGATCTTAGGCTCTAAATCAGTCAGGGTGGTTTGACGCTGCTTTCCCTGCTGCAAGAGCAGAGCATGTTGGTAGCTGCTAGGTTGAGTCTGTGCATGGGAGAGGGATAGGGTTGGGTAAGGAGACACCTGTTGGTGGTAAAGGGACTGCTGCTGATATAGGTTCTGTTGGGTGTAGTGGCTGGTAGTTTGGGTTTGGGGAACATACTGGGCATAGTGAGAGTAGGGACTAGTAAGTGTGTTGTACTGGGAATCAGCTTCTGTCTGTGGGGGGATAAATTGGTCAAATTCCGACTGGGGAGCTGTCCGTGGTCTCTCCAGGCCATCCCCCCTGGCCTCTCTGATGTTGCTAACCTCACTATCTGACATGTAGTCTCTTTCCTCTGCTACCCCCTGGAGATAGGCTCTCTCTCTTTTCTCTCTCTCCTTCAGCAAGACTTCCTTACGCCGGTTGATACCCATCTCCAGGTATCTACATTAATAAGAAAAATGGTACATATTGTTTTACGATGTAAGCACTATTTTTTATTAACATTACAACCAAAGAGGCAAATAATGTTCTGGGTTCTCACACATTAGTACCTTTTACTATGTGTGAGAGTGGAGAAGTCTCACTGAGTGATGTCAAGGCAGCCTTTTAGCCCATAAACTATCAAGGTAAGATGGGAATCATGCAGATGAATTAGGAATAATGATTGCATGAGAGGGACAAATGCAGTGATATTGGTTGTAATCAATTTAAGACATATTAATTGGTTACAAACATTATTTGTTAGTGAATTAATGTCATAAGGTCTGAACAAAAGCGTAAGCCTATATCCTTAAATGTATTGATCTGTGGCATCTCACCGTAGTTTGGCGTCAATCTCCTTTTCCTCTTCATCGAGCTCAGCCTGTTTCTTGCGAAGTTTAGAAGATTCTCTCTCCACCAAATCAAGCTCCTTGTCAATGTCCTGTAGGATCTTTGCCCGGGCCATTGTTGTACTGCGGGCAAGACGGCGACGAGCAGAGTTGGTGCTGTAGCCTGACCGTCCTGTCAGAGAGTCATCCTCAGGAGGGGGATCTGGCAGTGTTCGCTTCACCTTCTTACCTGTACCAGAGGGAGAGCCTCTGCCCTAGAACATCAAAACAAAAATTATAAATAAGTAAATCATTAAATGATGACTAAAAACACAATTTTCTGCATTATATAGCATAACATAAGCACTGTAATTATCATTATCAATTTTTGTAATTATTCATATTCTGTCATGACTTACAGAATAGCTGTCTGCATAGTATCCACCCATCCTGTCTTCTGTGGTAGGACTAAGGGATTTAGGATCAGATAGAGACTTCTGACCAGCCTTTAATATCCGAGGGCCAGAGGAAAATCTGGTTGGATCAGCAGTCAGCATTCTTTGCCCTCCAAGTGACTTTTCCGGAGACAGGGGGGAGACTTGGGTGTAGAAGATTTTAGACTTAGAGGGGACATCTGCTGTTAGGTGTGTGCTGTAGCTCACCTCAACGGGTGTGTACCTTCTGTCTGAGTCAGTCTGACAGCTCAGACTGCCACCTCTCTGAGAGTTCTCTGGAGCAGAGATATGCTTGATGATTTCCACCTTAGTGTCCATCTGTACATTGGGTTGTTTGATAGTTCCAGAGTGGTCAGTCTGGACAGAGATCTCTGCCACTGTCTGGATAGCAATGCTAGAGACCTTTGAGCCATGTTTCCCATCACTACTATGCTTTCGTGAGCGTCGTCGAGCTTTTGTGGGAGCATCCCATTCATCTTGGTCCTCATCATCAGTCTGAGCTGAGCTATCAACATTTCTCTTACTCTTCTTTCTCCTTCCTACCAACTGCTTCTCTGCAGAGTCTTCATCATCTGTCTGCACCCCACTATCAATAATTCTTTTCCCTGTGTCCTGATCAGCTTGAAGCTTTTTTACTAGATTAAGCTGGTCCTGACTTTCCCCTAACTGTGTACCAATAGATGGAGTTGTAGACTCATCTTTGACAGGCCAGTACTGGCCACTATCCCCTACACCTGCATATTTAGCATCAAGGAGGTTACCTGTGGTACCAGTGCTACCATAGTGCTCATCTAGCTGGCGCTGGAGGTGCAGTTGAAGTTGTTGGATTTGTTGCAACTGCTCCTTCTGCTGGGCATAGGTCTCCTGTTGGGCCACCATGTGGGCATGGTGCTCTTCCTCTTGCTGCAGGAGAAGCTGCTGTTTCAGAGCCTGAAGCTCTTCAAGCTCCCTTTGGACCATTAGCTGCTCCTGTTCACGGTAACGCTGGATCTCCTGCCTCTCCCACTCCAGCTCTTCAGCAAGACATAACTGCTTCAGTTTCTCTAGCTCTAGAAACTCCCTCTCCATCTGATACTGGGCCATCTTGGCATTGTCTAATCCAGGGAATATTGGGGAAGAGGCTAAGGCATCCAGAGAGGCAGCAATTGCTTCCAGGGTGGTGTCTGAGTACATATCCGGATAGCCCGTTATGATGTCAGCCAAAGCTGTGGGTAAAAGCTCCTTAGGTAGCCCTGTGTCATAAGGGATGATCTGTCCCGGGTCTCCGCTGGGAATGAAGCCATACGGATGTGGCAATGACTGGTTCTGGATTGTTGATGTAGGTGCTAAGGTAGTGCTAAAGACAGAGCCTGGTTGAGTGGTAATTGCATATGTGGATGGAACCGGGGCAACAACAGAGGAGTAAACTACTCCATCTGAAGTTCTTAGAACACTATTTACACCAAACCCAGCTGCAGGGACCTGGGAGTATGGAACAGTAGTCATCCCAGGGTAGCCTCCAGTAGCTTTGCTAGTGTAGTCTAGAGCTTTACCTGCCACAATAAGTCCAAAAATATAGTTTTTACTTCATCAAATACATAAGAATTTTAGAAACAAACATGAGGTACTGTCTATGAGCTAAAGGTCATGCAATTTGGATTTGAAACGACTCTCAGAGCACATGCATATCTGTAGTTATTTAGGCTAGCAAGATGCAAAACCAAAGTATTGAGGGAGCACACGCAGGCACACACATGCATCTGTATAAAGAAGGGGAAAAAAAGAAAAAACAAGCAAGAATTAATATTATATAATGAAAACATGCATATCAAACAGCTAAGCAAATTAAACAATTAAAGGATGATGATTAATAAACTTAAAGGGAAAACAACCACATACAGTCTCTCACAAAAGTGAGTACACCCCTCACTTTTTTGTAAATATTTGATTATATCTTTTCATGTGACAACACTGAAGAAATGACACTACGCTACAATGTAAAGTAGTGAGTGTACAGCTTGTATAACAGTGTAAATCTGCTGTCCCCTCAAAATAACACATCTCGCTGCCATTAATGTCCAAACCGCTGGCAACAAAAGTGAGTACATCCCTAAGTGAAAATGTCCAAATTAGGCCCAATTATCTTTTTTCCCTCCCCGGTGTCATGTGACTCGTTAGTGTTACAAGGTCTCAGGTTTCAATAGGGAGCAGGTGTGTTAAATTTGGTGTTATCGATCTCAAACTCCCTCATACTGGTCACTGAAAGTTCAACATGGTACTTCATGGCAAAGAACTCTCTGAGGATCTAAAAAAAAAAATTATTGATCTACATAAAGATGGCCAAGACCATTCAGCGGTTCAACAGGACACGCTCCACTCAGAACAGGCCTCGCCATGGGCAACAAAAGAAGTTGAGTGCATGTGCTCAGCGTCATATCAAATAATGGTGGCCACACAAAATACTGACACTTTGGGACCTATTTGGACATTTTCACTAAGGGGTGTACCCACTTTTGTTGCCAGTGGTTTAGACATTAATGGCTGTGTGATGAGTTATTTTGAGGGGACAGCAAATTGACACTGTAATACAAGCTGTACACTCACTACTTTACATTATAGCAAGGTGTCATTTCTTCAGTGTTGTCACATGAAAAGATATAATCAAATATTTACAAATAAGTGAGGGGTGTACTCACTTTTGTGAGCTACTGTATGTCTTTAGTAAGTAAAGTACTGAACTGTAACAATACAAATTATGGAGTAAAGGAACTTTATTATTAAATCAATCAAATGCAAGCCCATAAAGCAAGCACAGAGCATGGTTATGAAAACCTGCAAACATACAGAAATACCTCCATACTCACCAGGGGAAAGTTTGGCAGCAGTGAGGTCTATAGCGCCATCTGAAGATCCACTGAGATAGTCATAGTCATTCTTGAGATCATAGGAGAACAGTCCTGCCTCTGTCAAGTTGGTCTCAGACATTGAAGCTTTTATACCATACATGCCTTTGATACCATACAGTCCAGCATTTTCGTATTGGTAGTGGTCATCTCTATAGCCAAAACGGTTGTCGGGCTGGGTTGTAACCGGCGGCTGTGTTCTGCAGCTTCCTGTAAATGGTAGCTTGTAAATGACATCACAGCATACACTCCTCCTACCAGCTGTAAGGTCAACTGGAGTCCCATCATCCTCTACAACAGTGGTCACCACTCCTGGACCAGACAACGCTACCATGGCTTTCACTGGTCTGTAGTTTGACAGATCCATGGCTCCTGTGGCTTCTAGTGAAAGGACAGGACCTCCATTGCTGATAGCTGCTGGGGCCGAAGTAATTGGCTGTTTGTCTCCTGAGGAGATAAGAGCTCCAAAAGAAAGATTAATGGGTATGTCTTGAGCTGTGGATGCTACAGCACTGGCTGTGGCATGGGAATTCACAGGTCTGTATACAATTTGTGCTAATGGTTCGAATGGTTTGTATGTGGTAAGAGACAGAGGCAATGACGTAACAGGGCCCTGCAAATCGAGTGGTTTCTCTGCTGGAGTGTTGTTATAGGAGGCAATGGTGGCTGTGCATGTGACTATTGTGATGCTGTCAGTGACAACAGACAATGTGGTTGCAGGGGTGATCCCTGCACTAAGATTTACTATCTCAGGCTGCACCGCAGTTATTTGACGCCCACTAGAGTCACTTGAAAATGACTGTCGACATGACTCAGGTGGTGTCAGGTCCATTCCTTGTTCAGTCATCTTTATGCCAACCTTCATGGTACGTAAATCGATAACATCACCAGGGTAGATTATCTTTCCATTCTGTTTCGGCAGAGTTTGGACTTTAGCCATGTCTGGTTTTATAGTAATTGCTACAGTGGGGGAAGAGACCTGTGGAAGTCTTTCATGGACAACAGAAACAGTGGTCCTCTGGACCTCAGTGGTGACAACCTGAGTGACTAGGTTAGGCAGGCTTTCAGGAGGCTGGCCTGAAGTGGAAATTGAAGAAGAATACATGTGACTCATACTGGAGACCACCTTTTCTGGTCCTCGAATTTCTTGGCTCTCAATAGACTCTTGCTGAATTTTAGTGATGGTGACTGGAGCCAGGGATACACCCTGTGGAATGTCATGTACAGTGGGCATTGAAGATCTCCTACTGTACACATCAGTGGTTATTATCTCCAGAGGTTGATCATATTCCAATGAATAAGTCATGTGTGGTCTTTGTTCTGTTGAAGGAATAGATCCTCTACTATGGGGGACCTGAACTGCATAGGCAATAGGAACATCTTTTTCAGCTGCCACGTTTATTACCTGTGCCAGTGGTAATGGTTGCTGCATGGTTATGGATTCTCTCCTTGTGGCAGCAAAGGCCTCAGTTGTGACCACCTGCGTGGGCGTTTCATACTCTGGATAGGTAAATATCTCACTTGTGGTGTATGGTGGCTGTACTATGGATGATATTGATGTCCTCCTACTGGCGGTTTCCTGAGTTGCAATAACTCCAACTGGCATGGCAGGCACTGCCCAAGGCTGCATCACTGTTGATGGTACTGAACCTCTTCTTTCATCAACATCCTTTGTAATAATTTCTGTGGGTGTCTCACGTTCAGGCTGTGATGCTATGACCTCCAGTGGTGGTGTTGAATGTGACATGACTGAGGATGTAATTGTTCCATGGACCTGTGGAATGTAAGTAACACAAGGTACATCTGCCTGTACTCCCATTTGTTGGACTTCCATCATAAGAGGTGGTGCTGTTACTTCACCAGTTGTATGAGTTATCATCTGTGCAACTGTAGTTAGTGGCAATACCTTAGCAGCTTCAGGTGTTGGGGTTACTTCAGCTAGTACGGGTAGAGGATGAGGTACTGGCATTACTGATGCTCCTAGTATTCTAATAGCAGTGCCAGTTGTAATTACCTCTGTAGGTAATTCAAACTTTGTAGGGAGGGTCACCACTTCAGATTCAGGAAGGTTTTGCTGCGTAGACAGCTGCTCTGTTACTAAAGGCAGAACTTGTGAAGGCTGACTAGTTTGTGGTACGGATGGGTGAGTATTGCTAAAACCTGTTGACAATTCTTGCTCTGTAGAGTGAGTCACTGCTTCAACTACCGTAAGTCGCTGTTGAACAGGAATTTGCTGGCTCACTGCTGGTATTGGTGATCTTATGACAAGTGCCTCAGTGACAGTGACATCAGTGGGCATATCATGTTCTTGTTGTAGTATTTCTATTTGAGTTTCAACGTTTGGATAAAGAACAGTTGAGGGGACTGCAGCTGGTCCATCTTCAGGAACTAGTGTATCTAAAGGAACATCAGGCTGCAATGGTACAGCAACAACTTCTGACAGAGACAGTGGCTGCACAGGTACAGTTGGTATAGGGGCCTGAAGAACTAATGCTTCAGCTGAAACCTCTGGTGGAACTGTTATGACCTCTGTGGCTATGTTTGGATGCTGAGCAACAAATGGTATAGTCTTTCCTCTTGCTATGGCTTGGACTGTTGATGGTTGAATAAGAAACTTTGGATCTGGGGGCATTGTGATGACCTCAGACATTGTTGAAGGTGGTGGCAGTGGCTGAGGAACTGATTCTTGTTGTTGCAGATATGGTTTCTTAATTAGAAGAGGTACACTTTGTGCCTGAATAGATTTGTCTTGACCTGATGACACTGTGATGACGTCAGCCACAGATGGTGGTGGTTGCACAGAAGACACAGTGTCTCTCTTTTCTTGCACATTAGCAGCCACAATGTCAGAGGGTGTCACTTGCACTAGTGCAGTTGGAGCTACTGGTATTGGAGGTGGATGACTTACAGTGGGGACAGAGGCTCTCCTAACTGTAGCCTGAGCTGAGAATGCTTCAGTGGGGGGTTTCTGCTCTGAAGGTGTAGTCCGTACCTCCGACACATTTGCAGATGGGATGGAGCCTCGTCTTACAGGTGCCTGGACTGTTATGCCTTCTGACGGTGAGCCAGGCTCAGATGGAAGGGTTATCACAACATAGGTTTGCAAGCATTTCGCATGTCTAGGAGACAAAGGTGATTTAGGAGAAGTTGCACTTAACTTAGAGTCCACAGGTCTTGTCAGGCTAAGTGACAGAGCATTTGGAGGTTCTTTGGTCCTGGGCAGTGTTGCAGCCTTGGGGGCCACAGGAGGTGGTGGTGGCTTTACACTCTCTCCTGGCTTGTGGCTGAAAACCAATCCAGCTGGAATTGATATAGGCTTAGGTGGTATGGGAGGAGGAGGTCTGGTGGTTTGACTAGGGCCAGTTGTTGTAACTGGAACTTGTGCTGCTATGGTTGTAGCAATTATACCTGCAGGGGGAACTTGTGCCTTTGGATAAACCGTTGGCTTGGGTAAAGTGGTAGGAGGTGGTGGAGGTGTATCTGCCACAGGTATTTCTACTGTGTCTATAACTTTTGCCCCTGCCATAGATTTAGGCACAAGTGGTGGAGCTGAAGCTATTGGCGTTGCTGACACCTGGGATAGTGAAGCTGTATCTGTGCTGGGTATATCTGAAGCACGGTGTTTGGCTATTTGACTACTTTGTTTCAGATAAGGGGTAGAAGGTATTGACCCTGTGCTAGATATGTCTTGTTGGGTTTGTCCAAGCAGAGATATGTTTTCCACACTGGGCACTATGGTGACTACATGCTCTTGTCTGGTTGGGGATAGTACTTTGGGTACAGATACAATGTCTGGTTGTATGTCTTCTATTCTTGGCTGCATATCCACAACTATAGAATGCATTGGCTGGCAGGCCACTGTTCCCATAGCTATGGTGGTGGTCATAGTAGGGGTGATATGCTGAACAGTCCTTACTAGTGGCAGCTCTGTGTTGGGCTCAGGTAATGACACTGAAGTAGACCGAGGGGGAGGAGGAGGTGGAACCTTCTTTTTGACTATAGTAGTTGATACTGGAGCTGGAGCTGGCACCTGGCCTGTTTGAGCCAAAGCTGGGACTATCACTGGGCTCTTAGACGGGATGGCTGGTTGTACAGAGACCACTTTTGCTAGGGCTAGAGCTGGGGTAGTTACAAGTGCTGAGACTGGTAGTGGAGATTGTGCTGAGATTGGAGATGTAGTTGAAACCAGGTCAGGCATCTGGACTATGACTGAACCAGGGCATGAGGCCAGAGTGACAGAAGCAGAAACAACATGGGCTGAAGCTGAAATGGAGACCACAACAGGTTTGGATGCAACTAGGGCTGTAGGTTGAGCTGAGACAATAACAGATGGAGCTTCAATTGGCACCTGAGATAGAGATGAAACTAAATCTGACATTTCAACCGGGGGTACAGGTACAGGAGTAGACTCCACTAAGACTTGATTTGGTGTTTCAACTGTAGAAGCCTTAACTTGAACTACTGCAGTTGTTTGAGCTTTGGATGGATCAGACACCACATCTGGTATTGTAACTATAACTGTGGTTGGAGTGGGACAAGAGACTGGGTCCACACTAGACAGTGCTGCTGGAATTGAAGCAGGCAATAGTGGAGAGATCTCTGGAGGTGACTGGGATACAAATGAAGTTGGAGGTGTTGGTGTAGACAGTGGAGTTGAATCTGATGAAATAGGTGTTTGAGCCTGAAATGAGGATGAAGATGTAGCATTAGAAGCCAAACTGGAATCTGGAGTGGCTGGTGAAGTTGGAGGTGACACTGGTGACACAGGGGAAGGTGTAGTAGTTAGTTCTGGGGCTGATATCGGAGTTGGAATAGGTTTTGGCACTGGAATTTCACAGACCACACATATAGGCTCCATTTCAGCAGTGTCAGATAAAAGTGAGCTTATGGATGGATCATCTTTAGTCTCAGACTCATCACTCGGTGTAATGTCAGAGGAAACACCAACACCGTACTCGTCTGCAAGACTGTCATCCTCTTCCTCCCCAGATGAACATTGGGTAATCTTGAGGTCTGGTATGGGGAACAATGCCTTTCTGAGTGCAGGATCTTGAGGTACCATAGGCCTAACAAAACCTATAGATCCACTAGGAGTACTGGGAACAACAGTCACCTCAGAGCGCTTAGGGGGTTCAGAGGGGCGTGGTGGAGCTGGCCGTTTCTTTTTCTTCATTGGCATTTCACTCAAAGTTTCAGTGCATGCAAGAGGCACATCAATTTGTCCAATGAGGGATGTCTCTTCCATGAGTATGGTCACCACACAAGTCTCAGCAACCTTGGGCGGCCCAGTGACATAAGTCTCTGATGAGGAAGATTCGATGGCAGTCCGGGCCTGTTGAAACTCTTGTTCTATCATCATCAGTTCTCTCTTTTTCTGCATCATCTCCTCATAAACTTCCTCTGGAGACCTGAGTTTTTTGAGAGATTCAGAGCCAGTATCCTGTTTGGGTTCTTCCCGTTGAGATGGACTCATCATAATTTCAGGTTCCTCAACTAAGGATTCGTAAAGATAGTCCTCTATTGCCATTCCTCCATAGAGCGGTTCAATATCAGGAGGACTTTCCCCTGGAATAGATTTTGTCTTCTGAATAATTTCCTCATATGCTTCTTCAGCACTCTTTAAAGATTTTGTCACAGTGTCCATCTCTTTAAATGGATCAGAAGAAGTATATGGCATCACTGTTGGTGAAGGCTTAGATCCTGTTTGTACAGTTCGCCAAGCCTCTGGTTCTGATTCTATACTGGCAGAGTACTCCGAGCCAGATGTTTTATTGGTTTCATCCATTATGGTGACCTGTCTCAGATTCTCTGTGGAGGAAACATCTTCAGCTGGAGACAGTGGTTGGCCTTGGGCCCTAAGTTCATCTTTGTTTTTCCTAGACTTCTCTTCCTCCCGCATTTTTTCTTCCTCAGAGGAGTCTTCAATTGTGGGGAGAGGCTTGGTTGGCTGTCTGTGCTTACCTTTGCGATACTGTTTGTCCCCACTGACTTTCTTGTGAATGGGGCTGCTATCACTATCCTCCTCCAAAGATGAGGCTGATGTAGGTGAAGATCCTGGTGTAATGCTAGATGCCTGAACACTAGATGATCCCTTTGACAAGGATTCTGTGATGCTCTCTACTTCTTCATCTGTGCTTTGTCTCTGTCTTATGACTGGAATAGCTTTCTTGAAAGTAGTGCTGGGCAACGTTTCAGGGACATCTTGGATAGTTGCAGTGTCTGTTTTCGGAAGGGCTTTTATCTTGGCTGGGCTGTCTTCATGATCTGTGCTACCTTTTCTAGAAAGTGATTTGGCTGTGACTGAAACATTATCAAGCTCAGACTCCTTGATAGCTTCCTCATTTGCCAAATTGTTATCTTTCTCATCTTCTGAAAGAGACATTACTTCTTCATCACCCATACCCATTATCTGCTTGCGTATGAACTCTTCATCTTCCATAGAGGAGTCAGCGCTTTCAGTTTTGATGTCCTCACTGCTGGATGAAGCATTGCTCACCTTCCGCCTCCTCTGAACTTCAGGTGAAGGTGTGAGTTCACTTCCACTGCTCTGACCCATTTCCTGGAAACTTAGTTGCCTTCTCTCAGCTTTAACATCCTCCTTTACTGGCATGGATGGGTCTGCAATTACATCATTTTTACTTGTATCACTAACTTCTTTCCCGTTCTTTGCTTCTTGCGATATGGGTAAAATCTGGGGTATATCTTCAAGCTCCTCTGCTTTGGATTTAGGCTTAGCAGTTGTCACAGAGGCAACTATGTTTTCCAGTTTAACCTGCCCAGTAGTTAGGGAGACCTTTCTTTCTTTCATTGACTCTTTTTTGGTTTCATCTTGCTCCTAAAACGTGCAGAAAATAATTTAACAGTAAGTATATATCATTGATAAAAGAACCAGACTTTCTGGGACAAACACAAGTATTTGACCTTGTTTTTACATGTAGCTGCAGCATGCTATTAAGAGTAATTCTGAAAATTGTCTAATGCAGTGGGAAGGTGCATTATTCACCCAAGTTTTGTTAAAATAAAGTAAGCAATGGTAAAAATACAACATTCATATTGGAATAATGCTTGGTGAACAATTTTTTTCAATAGCAGTGTTCTTTACTATTAGAGGAAACACAGACTGCACATACAGTAGTTTGTCAGTTTTGTGTCCAAACATTAATGTCAACACTGCTAGGAATAATAATAATAATAGGAAGGTGCCTACATGTTTGAAAGACTAATTATTTTTAATCAAAAGGGAGCATTCTTACTTTTATGATGATGTTCTTTGTAGATACTGGTTGTGTGTCTGGAGTTGAGGTGACATCAAAAATCTTTTCAACCAACTTATCAGGCTCTTCCTTTCTGTCAGCTGCTATGATTGGTTCTACTTCCAGTACCAGCTGTCGTTCTTGTGACTTTGGTTGCACCACAACTTGCTGTAAAGACTTTGCTGTGCCTGTCAGTTTGATATGATCATAAGGCTGTTCTTCCTTAACAATAATCTCTGGAGCAGAGAGTTCTGGCTTTGTTTCAGTCTCTGGAACAACTCCAGCCATAACAACTTCTGCAGCAATAGGTGAGGTCGGGACAAGTGTAACCTCATTCACTGGGAAAGATAAAGCTGCAGCTACACCTGCTTCATCTTTGATTTTTGAATAGTCAGTTTGGAAAATTCTGTCTCACTGAGGTCTTTTTTCACTGCCTCTTCTTTGTTTCCCACTGTTATAGTCTTGGGAACATCTGCATTTGGCACTTCAACCTTTGGTGTTGCTACTGGGGCCATAGTTGGTATAATGGATTCTGCTATAGATGCTGCTAAAGGCTGTTTTTCTGCTGCAATAGGTGAAACCCTTGCTGTGGGTATGAGTGTGGTGTCGGCCTTGATTTGTGCAGAAGCTGCTCTGGCTGTAATTTCCATCTTGATAGATGTAGGTTCCATCTTTGCTTTTGGGGTTGGAACTGTTGGTACTGCCTTGATAGGGTCTGGTGTGGGCTGTGATTTTGTGGCCACAGGTGTGGGCTCTGCCTTTGAAGGGGCAGTTTGGTGCTCTGCCTTTTTGGTTGCAGGTGTAGCCTGGGTCTCTGGCTTGGTTGATACAGGTGAAAGCTGGGGCATTTTTCCTGAGTCTCCCAGCTGTCCCAACAAAGCCCTTTGAGTTTGGCAGTTCAGACACAGCCATTCCTTCTGTATCAAACAAACAAACAAACAACATATGAAGAGGAAACACACTATATAGACTGATATAAAAACTTGTTAAAAGTCCAAATTGTTATTTTTTACCTGTGGTATATCACATTTACAATTGAAGACTTTCATTTATATATTCAGTTCATGCATTCAACTGGATACAATTCTAAGTACAGGCCTACAGGGGTATTTCATAAAAGAGGCTAAGAAAAGCACGGTTTATTCTGGAATGCCTGACTTGAGTGAACCTAACTTACATAACTGAAGATTAAACTCAGCGAATGTGGTCAGTACTAAAGCCACACCTGCATTAGCAGATTAGCATCAGCTGCTTCATTCATGCTTTACCATCAGTGTTTCATTCATCAGTTGCTTCATTACCAGCTGACTAATAACATACAATAATGTTCATGAGGATAAACAGCACTGTTCTGGCTTTTGTAACATGTGACATTTCACTGTTACTAAGCTGATGCCACATGATGACACTCATGGCAGTGCTGTTTGCTGCTGCAGCTCTATCCACCACTACAACCTCCTAATCATTCTTTGAGAATTCCCTCACAAAAGCAGAGCTCTTTCCTCCAAATCCAAATCCAACAGCAAAATGCATTTTCCATAAATTGTAATATCCTTGATCTAAGCTCTGAATTAGCTTTTTCTAAAAACTGTTTGCACTACCGAAATTATTATTATTGTTATTATTATTATTATTATTATTATTATTAGTAGTAGTAGTAGTATTGTACTATAGCTCCAGTTTTTCACAACTTTGTGGAGGAGATGGTGCTGAAAAGAAATGTAATTTAGACTGCCTTAACTCTACTTTGTTTAACGTCTTTAAATTTTAATTCAGTTTTTATAAAGACTACAGATAAATACAAACGTATTAAATTTGCAAATGATAGCAGGTTCCAATTGTGTGTTTGTGGGCTTACACAGTAACTTTAAAGTTGAAATTCTATGGAGGTTAGTTTAAAAACAAAACTCACACTTCAAAAATCAATGATGCATTGCTGTGTCTTGCAGTGGATAATAACTAATAGTTTTCACATTTTCAACTATCAAATTCTTCTTTGAAATGTTACAGACAAGAACATTGTACAATACAACAAAGTCTCTTATGCTGAGTAATACCATAGTAATAAATGTGATATAATTCAGTCCTCACCCAGCCCTATCGATGCTGGACAATTTTAAACAACCAAAGCATTTACATAGAAATATTAAATATTCAATATGACAGAAGCATAGAATTGCGTTCTTTAATATTCACATGCTCACTGCTATTACACTAGAACTTACGACACTTGTAAAACAGCAATAAAAATGCTTACCTTGCAAAAGAGCTAATCACATCTTATAAGCAATTCTGTTACTTTAAAAATGTAATCCTCTGAAGACACATTTCTTATAACATCTAAGCGCCATAAATGAAGGGTTAAGGAGGAGAAGAAGGCGTGAACTGTCAATTGATAAAGCAGTGTGTCTGTAGCAACCTAGTAGACCAAATCACAGCAATGCGCCTGCCTCTGCAGTGCAAGGGAGAGCAGTTCTGATATACAGGACAGAGTAGGAGATTACATTGCACACATACAGTATTCTGTTTGTGAAACACCATTAAAGGTTCAGTGTGTAATATTTCTAAGGATTCATTGACAGAAATGCAATACAATATCTCTAACTATGTTTTCAGTGGTGTATAAAGACCTTACATAATGAACCATTATGTTTTTACTACCTTAGAATGAGCCATTTATATCTACATAACCGCGGGCACCCCCTTCTATGGATGTCGCTGTATTTTGTCGTCATGTTTCTACAATCGCCGACAACGGACAAACAGCGCTACAGAGCGCGTTTCGTCATCACGGCGATCTTCTTCTCCTTGTATAATTCCGGCAGTGTAGACACTGTCACTACATTAAATGTAGTGACTTCTTCTTCTGTAGAAGAATTAGAGGAAATGATAATAATGATAATAATAATAATAATAATAATAATATACAGTCTCTGAGTAGTCCTCTCCTCTAGATACAAACAGCCGACGGCAGAAATCACGTATATGGAGCTGTGGAGTCTGGATCTGTGGCTGTGGGTCACCTTCTGCCCCCGTGTTCCTGCTCGACACCCTCTGCTACAACTATTGTTACTAGTCCTATTGTTATTATTGTTATTATAATCATTAACATTACGATTACACTACTATACATATCTATACCATTTTTCATTTAGTCATTTAGTCTATAGCAACATCACCTTTACTGTCTGTACCTCTGTGTGTATATTGTGTAGGCTTCCTCCCTTCCCTCTCTCTTCTTCCATCCCTCTCTTTTTCTCTCTGTTCCTCTCCTGCCCTCTTTCTCTCTGTTCCTCTTTTGCCCTCTCTCTCTCTCTCTCTCTTGCCCTCTCTCTCTCTCTCTCCTTCACCCCCAACCAGTCGAGGCAGATGGCCCTGAGACATGGTTCTGCTCGAGGTTTCTGCCTCTTAAAAGGAAATTTTTCCTTGCCTCTGTCGCCTAGTGCTTGCTCTTGGTGGGAACTGTTGGGCTTCTGTAAATAACATCATAGAGTACGGTCTAGACCTGCTCTTTTATGAAAAGCGCTGTGATATAACTGTTGTTGTGATTTGGCGCTATATAAATAAAATTGAATTGAATGGAATTGAATAATCTGTGTGGATTTTCCCAGATGGAAGGCTTTGATCTAGGACAGATGTTTTCAAAGTGGAGCTGAAGTTGTCTGTTTTGTTGTCAGGTAATTAACTTAAGTTTGTCGGACTTTAGCGTAATTGGCAATAAAACTAACGTTAGCTTACAGCATGGAAGCAATCAGCCTACTAAACTTTTACTGCAGTGGGGTTTATTTTGTTGTTTATCCATGTATTGTTCTGTAGTACTCTTGCTTCTTGGCATTGTTTGGTTACATATTGTGCTCTGTGTACACAAGCAGGGCATTGTTAAAAAGTGGGTGTTGGTTCCAACTTTTACTACAAGAGGGAGTATACCTGCTAATGAGTAATGTTTGGCACAGCTGCAACATAGTGGTACATAGCTGTAACACATGAGGTTGAAAAGACGGTGTGCTGGATACGATGTACCCATCTTTGTGTATGTTGCAGCCTACAATAAAGAGACTCAAAGCCACCCTGAGTTTTATTTAGATGTAGCATTTTCTTTGGTTAGTCCAGATGAGCCAACCCTCCCAAGTTGTAAAATACTGTATTACAGGAGTATGAGACATCCTGTAGCACTTAATTTCTTGATGTGGCTGTTGATTAATGAACAAATAGCAATAATATTCATAAAAAACATATGTTTTTACTTCTACTTTTATACTTTTAATTTCTTAATGTATTTATCTAATTTCTTGACTGGCAACTTTGCAATCTTGCATCTTTTGTCCTGGGGGGTGTTTGTATAATCTAAATTATATATATATATTATGACCATGTACTTTATAAACAGAAGAAGTATCTGTATGTGTCTCTAAAAACACATTTTGTCTTCGCACTGATACAGATTGCAATGACGTAAATGAAAAACACAGTTCATGGGCTCATGTGCTGACTTGAGCTTTTGTGACGTAATATAACCTCTGTCATACACTGGCTTAGCCCTGCTCTTACAATGCAGCTGTACTGGACATTTCATCTCGGTTCCTATAAATAAGCTTAGAATGCCACACTGCTAAGACCTGTTGTAATCACACTTTTAAACAGAAAGACAAGGCTAGAGGGAACATTTAAATAGGATTGGTCAAAACTTGGAAAATATTATTACTCATTATTATTATAATTTATTATTACTTATCATTACGTAATTTGTATTTTATTGTCTTAATAAGGCTTATTATTATCGTTTTAAACATACAATTGTCCAATTTCTTTACAGAGATTACAATAAAATCATACTAGCATAAATCTACTGCATATAGAGCATGAAAATATAAACTCTCATATTCTACCCTGAGATTGTGGGCAACAGTGCAAGAAGAGCATGATAAGCTTCATAACAGTAAAATTCTTTCACTGAAAACAGAATTGCAGCTAATGAGAACATATGCCGTCTTGATAAATAATGTCAGAATTTATGCAAAATATTGCTTGACTTAGGAGAAAACTACTGATGCATCCAATCATTGATACTTTTGTGGAGTCAGTTGTGGTTCAGTCAGGAATATCATAATCCTATTAGTTCACAACAGTAACAAACAAAGCCTCATCAGCATTGTGCATGATAATCGTGTAAACTAATGAATCATTTAAACATCAATTTCAAGTGATCTGACACAAGCTCACTTATTAAAAGTTATATGGGTTCACATAAAAGCTAAATCTTGCTGAGGGTAATTCATTTTTGCCATGCATTGTACTGTATCTATGTCTATACCTCATAAATACATAAAAGCTGTGCTTCTGAAATAAATAGAGTTTATTGTAAATGTATTTTTTTTTTAATGACCAACCTGTAAATTCCATTAGTTTGCCTTAAACATTTGTCAACTGGGCTACAAAATGCCCACATATCCCTCTACTTCTCCATCTCCTCCTCCTTTCTCACATTTTCAGGATGTAATCACAACTAAGAAGGAACCTTCTCATGTCACATAGATATGCTAATAAGGAAAACGATCACCACCGAGGCCATTCAGATGATAAATCAGTAATCACAAACTCCAGCTCTTATAGATCTTATAAGCCGAGCACAATCGCCTTATAAGAGGCAGCTTACTGATGCTATCTTTATAAATATGAAAATTAATGTATATGTAGTAATGCCATTTTGGACAAAAATATATTTTTTGTTTATATGAAATCCTGAGCTGGCAATTTGTCAATATGACAATGACAAAGCAAAAATTAATAACTCATTTTATTTTAGATTTTCCCTGTCTTGTGGTGGACAGGGTTGATGGATGAGTCAAACCCAGGACTTCCACACAGGAGGCCACCAGTCAAGTCCCATGTGAAACCAAGTAAATGTTGAGTTATTAGTTAGTTTTAATTTAAATATCATTACTAACTCAAACCACAATGTTTTTTTTAACCTAACCAAGTAGTGTTTTGCCTAAATCTAACCTAACTGCAACCGTTTCACAATGTGCAACCACGTTTAACTTCATGTGACTTATGTCGCATGACGTACGTAACGTAGTTAAGGTCCAGTATGCTCATATGTGTCATTTTGAGAGGCACTGACAAATGAGCAATTTTGTCATTAAGGTATTCTGACATGTTGCAGCGACATTTGCATAACTCCTTAAAATCTGACATGGTGGCCTATTCACCTCTGTCTCACCTCTGTCTAAATCTTCTTCTGCTTCCCTCTAACAGGACAAACTTGAAAAGAGCTATCAGAAAATACTGAGAAGGGTCAAATAGCACTGTTCACAGATGGCTGAGCAACGGCCATTCCAGCATTCCTGAGTCTTTCTGCTGATCTACTGTATCCTCGATCTCCTGCAATCTAAATATGGCCCTGACCCTCACACCTCTCCAGGCACATAGGTCCAAGTCTCAGCATGATAACTGACCTTTTTTAACCCAAATGAAAAACAAACGGAGAGAGCAATTACAGAAATATGCAAATGAAGGATTGTACTTTTGAATTGTGTATTATTTACAAATTAGTAAAGATAAACATTTACACTCTGCCACTGCACCAAACCTTGCATTGGATAACTCATTTAGCCTGCTAGTTTTAAATCAGACTGAAAACTGCCCCCCCAACAACATCCCTGTGAACAAAATGACCTAATCCCATCCCCTCCAGCGCCAGTCACAGCCTCACAGCCACACAGTCTCAGAGCCATGCATCAGAGCCACAGGGTTTGAAAAGTCACCATCATCCTTTTGTCTAATTAAATCTGTTTTATGAGTAAAGAGCAGGAGCCCCAAGCAGAGAGCTGTGGGAGAGGCTGCTCCCCACGATTAGCCTGTGAGCTGGATTACCAGACCTTCACAATGACAGCAATCAGGAAATTATCCTCTTGACACACAGGCGTGCTGCATTAGGCTGGATCTGTGGAGCTTCATAAAAAATTGCCCAGTTCATTTTATTCACAGCAAAAGACATTTTACATTTAACACCTTAGGAAAAGAACCAATTCATACCGGGCACAGATTACCTTCAAAGTTTTTTAAGAAACCTAAATATTTTAAACATTTGTTCAAATAACCTAAATTAAAGTTTACTGGAATTCATAACACATGGCACATTCCACCTTGCATTATATAGATAACTGAAAAGGGGAATGCATTGTGTTTACTTTCAACAGTTGGTATGACAGGTGTGGGGTTCAATAAAGCCATTGTAAAATAAATGTAAAATTTAAATGCACAAATATCTACCAAACTCCTCTAAACAGAAATTACCTGTCACACTTGCATTTTCACACTAATTAATCAATCCAGTAATTTGAATTAGTATTATTTGTACAAACCAACACCTTCTTAAGACACAAGTCACTTGGTATTCTAGTGGTCCTGAAATTTACATTTTGACTGAAGGCATGGTCTTTGTCTAAACAACTATTTCTCAACCTTTCTTCAGTGCTTTCTTGCCTTTGATATCAGAGCTGGTAAGTTTCTAACTGATTTTCTGGCAGAAGCCTTTGGCACAAGCTGTAGCTGGCTAATATACTTGGCTTTCAGCAGCCCCCACAGAGCAGAGCTCCTCATAAATCGAGCTCTCTGATAATAGAGAATGTTGACCCAGTAATCTATAATAATCAGAGTGCTTCATTCTAAAGGCAAGGAAATACACCCTCTGATTTTTCAATCTGACAAATGGTGCATCAGCAAACTTCCCTTTGATGGCAGGGTGCAATAGGGCAAAAATTGGGCTAGAAAAATGACTGAGAGGGAGTGGCAAAAATAAAAAGCAAAGACACTAGGAGGTATATAAAGAAGGCCAAACCTCTTGGGGGGGGGGGGGGGGGGGGGGGGTCCTGTTCATTCTAACAGAAAGTCACATATTGAACCACCAAATATAAGACTATTTCATAAATGTTCTAACGTTAGCTAACGGAATTTTAGCACTGCTAGTCTCATTGTACCTTGTAAAAAGGTTGTGGAAAAAAAGGGTAGGGTTGCAGCACGTTGGCTGTGCTTATCAAAGTCACTATTTAAACATTTGTTTAAAACTATTGTTTGGCCTAAAGCAGAAAATATCTAGCACATAGACCTGATATGTGTGAAGAACACAAAAACGTTGGGGCTAGTGATTTCTTAAAAAACATTTTAAGGGTACTCTGCTGGGCTTGTGCATCAGAGATCTACATCTTGTCATGAATCAGCCTCTAATGGCAAATGTTTGTCAGTTGTGTTTACCTTTGAAGATAAAATATATAGCCACATGATGACATTTATAAAAAGAGGAACTATCTTTCAGACTGTCTCATCTGTCACACAAAGCTTTAGCTGGCAAAGCACGGCACACGTGTGTCCTACTTATCAGACAACAGTCACTCCCAGCCTTTTGAATGCATCAGCTGAAGCAGAAAAGGAAAAAAGAAAAATGGATAGACTTGCTGCTAGCACTCACTTTGCCTAAAGTGGCATCCTCTCCTTTCGAACTTGTAAGTCTTTTTCATATTTTAAAAGGCGGCATTTCTTCTCTGCCACTAAAAAGCCACATACATTCATGATCTCAGAACAGAACTGGAAGGTACAGTCCCTTTGGATAAAGCAGGTCGTAGGACAGCAAGTATGGCAGCTCATCCTATCCAGTTGTGTTAAGTCCAAGCTATTTTTATTTTCCACAGCTATTAAGAGGAATTAATCTATGTTGTACACACAGAAGCAATTATCCATGCTTGTCCCTTCCCCCATCCAACCTCCCTACCCTTAGGCTTTTCCCCCTCTCTGGTGTTCACAAAAAACGTGAGTGTCAACATCACGTAACATTACATAACATTACATTACTTACATCACTTTTGTGTTATTTCCATAAAAATGTGCCATTTGGGCTGATCCTGTGGTAAACTGTCTCTAAGAAACAACATTCAAGGCAGAAATAGAGAAAAGAGGGGGAAAAAGTCACTCACTAACTACAGAGATGAGTTTTGTTGTTTACTGAGAGTCAACAGAATGCAAGACCATTGTCCCCATTCTCACGCAAACAACTGTCAGCCAGAAATACTTCTGTCATAGAAATTAGAAATTCACTGGTGCTATACTATTGGTCACATTATTTCAAAATATGCATCCGATACATTTTGTTTTTTACATTAAAATAACCAACTTTTTACTTGAAAGAACTAGCATCAAATGTGATCTTATTCCTCCAGTTAAATGACTTACATGACTCACATATAACATTATTGAGTTGTGCCAACATAAACACTTAAACATTTCAACTGAAATGGTCATTTAACACTGAAGTAACTATGAGAGAAGAATAACATTTTCTTCAAATCACTCTAGATAGGTCTGACAAACACATCTACAAATTAAGGCATTAACTGTTAATTGCCAGAAAAACACACCAACCCCATAAGGAAATGTGAGCTGTTCGGAGAGGAAAGTATTACTGCACCTAACATATAGGATATGAAAAGGCAAGGGTACACAGCCTTGCATTCAACAATGACCTGCATGTGTGGGTATGTCACAAAGCAGATACACAAAATCTATTGCCACCTACATAAATTGAAGGGGAAATTGTTGAATTACAAGGAGCCACTGATCTGTGAGAGAGCAGATGGCCTGAAAGGAAATGTCTGCTGCCCTAATGTACTGCACCGTGTTGTGTTGGACTTAATCCGTTTCACCTCTGCTTATTGGCATATCACAGGGCTTTGCCATCTCAGATCTCTCACGGGGGCTGGAGATTCCCTGGTCACTGGTCTGTTATGGCAGTAGATCCCATCTCACTAATGCTGTTGCACAACCCTCAATCACTTTAATACATTTCCAGTGCTGCCGGTCTTCTGAAGCACTCTTCTCATGAGTCGTTATGTAATAACTCTGGCTCCTCTAGGTTAGCCACTACTATGTACCCTGCATGTTAGTATGCTTTAAATTTTTTTTGAGACGATTGACGAGTAGGTCAATAATTAAAATAGGTTACATTAATTAACTGCAAACTGACCTCTGTTCAAAGTCACAGTCTAAAAACTGATTCAAGCAAGCTCTCCATATATTTTCACAGCTGTGGCACCTTCATCTATTATTCCACCGCACTGCAAGTCGTGGTCTTTGTCAAGAAAATCCAATCAACAACAGAAAAATATTCAGCTATTTTGAACAACATTTTAGTAGAAATAAAAGGCAGTATGACAGCCAGTCTCCCAGTTTTTACTGTTTACACTGCAGAAGAATATTCAACAAAGTAAAACTAAAATCAATTGTATTTCTTGTACACTCCAACCCAAAGGATGGTGTGCTTGACTAAACATGAATTAACAATAAACAGTATGTACAATAACAACTATAATAACTTGATAATGCAAGAAAAAGTGCTCTTCAATAAGTAAGAACTATCAAATATAGCATATTAGACATAAGACACAAATGATAAGATCTTAATGACGATTTTTTCTTCAGTTGCATTTTTATAAAATTGCCAATTTATTGCTCTTTACCCTATATTTATTACATTTCCAATCTACAAACTTTTGCATCAAAATAATTAGTACAGTATGCTTTCGGTATAGTACTGTGTGCATTTTACTGAACTTGTCGTGAATGGTGGTGAAACAGTTAGGGATTAAACTATGCTTCTTCTCTGTCATTCTGAATTGCTCTAGTAGTCTATAATGCTTTGTTACTCAGTATCAGACATGAATACTAAAAACTAGTGCCCTCATTACAGTCCAATGAAACACCAAGTCCTAATAATTACTTCTGTCAGTTGAACATCAGGCAACTCAATTAATAAAATAGTAGGGTTTGAGTTGGAAATCATAAGAGAAAATATTTTAAACCAAAAAAGAAAACTTGCGTGTGAAATGACATGTAAAATGGATTGCACTGAACTTACCACTGCTGTATGAGGCATGGGGTTAAATCCACAAAGACTGCAGACAGTGTTCTTGCATTCGGTGCAGGTGTTATAATTGGGAGGATCCTTAGAGCCCATGTTGAGTTCGACCTTACAGAGAGGACAGGTGGACACACTTGCTTTAGGAGCAACGTGGATCACTTCTGTGGTTTTTGTTGGCTCTGATGGAGCTTTCTCTGCTTTGGCCTGTGCTGATGGAACTGGCTTGGCCAGTTGAGATGTCTCTTTCTGCACAGCAGGTGGTTTGGTCATCTTAGGAGAAACTGGAGGTGTAGTTTTAGGAGAGACATTGGCTGTAGTGGACATCTTACGTGGAGTAGGTGGTGTAGTTTTAGGTCCCTCCTGAACAGCTGTGGTTATCAATGTAGATGCAGAGCTGAAGATAGAGGAACCAAAACCACGCATCTTCCCAGTCACTGACTCAGTAGCCTTTGCAGAAGCAGGTTGTAATTTAGGACCACCAAAGCCAAAGAAGCCTCCTGACTCCTGAGCTGGTGGTGGTGCAGATTTGGCAGGAGGGGTCACAGATTTGGAGGGAGGTTGTGATTTTCCAGCTTCTTGTTTTGCAAGACCTGCCTTGACTTCTGGTTTTGTAGTTTGAGAAACATGTACGTGTGGAGTTTTTTCAACAGGCTTCTGCTGGCTAGCCACATCCTGACCTGTTGTCTTTTGCATAAAATTTGTTGTGGTGTGTCTGTCCTTTGGACTGCAGTTAGCACTGGAGCCTCAACTTTGGGGGTTTCTTTTTTGTCCGGAGTTGCTTGAGTGACCTCTTTTTTAACTGCTGTAGATTCTGTAGACTTCTCCTTCTGGACTAATGTTGGCATATCCGTCTGTTCAGAGCCCGGAGGTGTAAAAACCTTGCTTGGGGAGGACTGAGGTTTCACTACAGGGCGTCCAGTGGTCTCAGAAGCTCCTAAGGCTCTCTGCATCTGGCAGTTCAGACAAAGCCATTCCTTTACCTGAAAAAAATGCAATGGAATGTATAAATCAACACATGCATTTATTCACAGAACATTAATTTACATATAAACTATAATAAATATTGTAAGATGAAATCTGTTAATTCTTTATTCATGTGGGTCTGGCATTTATAATTACTCATATTATGGGCATAATAAACCTGCTGTGTAAACCTCTAAGTTAGTAAACCAATGTTTGTCAGGGAGATGTTTTTAGTGGCAAAGACTTTGTGTGGTATTAAATTAAAAGTCATTGTTTTAGCAGTTAAAATGCACTTCAAAATCAATGTTGTGCTTTTTAAACCTTGAAGCCTATTGATCATTAAACAATATTAAAATATCAAATCAAATTGTCACTACCAGGCCCATAAACAATATTTAACAAATTTGTAAAGGGACATCGTAAATCAATCATTAAATAAATGCTTTCTTGATATTCTTATTAAAATAATTGTAAGTCAAATAAAAGCAAGGGCAACACTTGTGAGGCCAGTGATTTACCTCTGCCACATTTGGAATTGGATTAAATCCACATTGGTTGCAGACAGCAGTCTTGCATTTGGTGCAAGTGTTGTAGTTGGGAGGATCTTTGGAGCCCATGTTCAGGTCGACCTTACACAGGGGACAAATAGACTGATCTGCTTTCAGAGCACCTTGGGTGTCTGCTGGTGCCTTGGGGGGCTCAGATGGAACTTTGTCCACTTTGGCTTGTACTGTTGAAGGAGTCTTTTCTTGCTGTGGGTTCTTCTCGTATTTCTGGACAGCAGGTGGCTTGGTGTCCTTTGCAGGTAACGTTTTAGGAGAGGCTGGTGGTGTAGTTTTAGGAGAGACATGGGCAGTAGTGGACATCTTACGGGAAGTCGGAGGTGTCATTTTAGGTTCATCCTGGACAGCTGAGGTTATCAAAGTGGATGCAGAGCTTAAGAAAGATGACCCAAAGCCAAACATCTTTCCAGTCACTGACTCTGCAGACTTTGCTGCAGAAGGCTGTGTTTTAGGACCACCAAAACTAAAGAAGCCTCCTGACTCCTGTTTTGCAGTCTGAGCTGACGGTGGTACAGATTTGGCTGGAGAGGTATCAGCTTTTGGAGGCTGTTGTGGGGGTGCCTTTCCCGCTTCTCTGTCTGGTGGTGGAGCAGACTTTGCAATAGAAGTCACAGCTTTTGGAGGCTGTTGTGGGGGTGGCTTTCCTGCCTCTGGACCTGGTGAAAGAGCAGACTTAGAAATAGAAGTCTCAGCTTTTGGAGGCTGTTCTGGGGGTGGCTTTCCTGCCTCTGGACCTGGTGGAGGAGCAGACTTAGAAATAGAAGTCTCAGCTTTTGGAGGCTGTTCTGGGGTTGGCTTTCCTGCCTCTGGACCTGGTGGAAGAGCAGACTTAGAAATAGAAATCTCAGCTTTTGGAGGCTGTTCTGGGGGTGGCTTTCCTGCCTCTGGACCTGGTGGAGGAGCAGACTTAGAAATAGAAGTCTCAGCTTTTGGAGGCTGTTCTGGGTGTGGCTTTCCTGCCTCTGGATCTGGTGGAGGAGCAGACTTAGTAATAGAAGTCACAGCTGTTGGAGGCTGTTGCTGTGTCGGTCCAGGTTGTTCTTTTGGTGTCTCTCCAGAAGGGGAAACATCAGTGTTTGTGACAGTGGATGGAACAGTTTTGTCAGGCAAGGCAGCTGTAGAGCTAACTTTTTTTGTTGGTGGGCCAAGGGCTGATTCAGTTTCTTTGGGTGTGGCAACAGTAATAAGCTCATTTTTGGTTGTGACTGGTTTCGGAATGTCTTCCTGAGAAGCTGACATTAGGGTCTCTTTCTTCGGTGTGGTGGCGGGGATCTCTCTGCTTGGTGAGGGTTGGGGTTTTATCATGGGAAGGCCTGGAGGTTCAGAAGCTCCAAGTGCTCTCTGCATCTGGCAGTTGAGACAAAGCCATTCCTTCACCTTAAAAACAAACACAAAACGTGAGCAACACATGTAATTTTTAATAATGAACTCTCAAAACAGTACTTTGATGTATTGGTCCTAATAAATGTGTGATAACAGAGATTAATTAAAATGACGTAGTCTACTTTACAGTCCTTTCTATTTTAATGTTCTAACCAAATATAAAACCTGTGGTTAAATAGCCAATGTCTGCTGAGCAAACATGCCGAATGTGTGTCATTTAATTACCTCTGTTACATTCGGCATAGGATTAAATCCACATTTGTTGCAGACAGTGGTTTTGCATTCAGTGCAGGTGTTGTAGTTGGGAGTATCTTTGGAGCCCATGTTAAGTTCCGCCTTACAGAGTAGACAAACAGACTGGCCCACTTGGGGAGAGACCTGGGAGGATTCTGGTTTTGGAGTCTCTGATGGACCCTTGTCCACTTTGGCCTGTCCTGGTGGAGGAGCCCTGACCTGCTGAGGCTGGTCCAGTATCTTTTCCAGGTGTGGTTTCTGAGCAGTAGACGGTTTTACCTCCTTTGCTGAATCCATCCTTGGAGAAACTGGAGGGCTGGACTTTGGAGAAATCTGCGATCCTGAAATCTTGTCAGAGACTTGTCCTGGAGCAGACATTTTGCGTGAACTTGGTGGTGTTGTGCGGGATTCCTCCCGAACTGTAGATGTTATCAAGGTGGATGCTGAGTTGAAGAGGGATGAACCAAATCCTAACATCTTCCCAGTCACCGCTTCAGTTGTTTTTGAGGCAGTGCGCTGAGATTTAGGACTACTTAAGCTGGAGAAACCTCCTGATTCTTGATTTGTTGGCTCCACTGCTGGAGGAGCAGATTTGGCAAGGGATGTTTCAGCGGGGTTTGATTCTTTGTTTAAGGCTTGTTGGGGCTGTACTACATCAGAGGATGTCACTGGATGATCAGCTGATTTCTGAAGTATTTCAGCTTTGTCCTCTTTCTTTTCAGATACTTCTTTAGTTGCAGGGGAACTTGGTGGAGTGATGTCTTTTTTCTTCTGGAGAATACCCTGTACATCAGGAGGAGCAGGCAGTAGTTTATTGAGGTCTGAAACAACAGCTGTGGTCTCTTTGGTAGAAGGTGCAGTGGAGGTTGGAACCTTCTTGGAAGGTGGTTTACCAGTTATCTCCTCTTTTGTCGCAGTTGAAACAGTTCCTGGAGTCTCCTTTGCAGGCAGGGAGGCAGAGGTTGATTTGGTTTGGGTAGTATCCATTAGAAATTGGGGTTTAGTTTCTGATTTATTTTGTGGTGCACCTGGTGTTGGCTTGTCCTTATGATTTTTGTCTGGCTCTTCTGATTTTTGTGTGGAAATAATGTCTTTCTTTTGATTGGCAGTGGTGTCTTTTTGGGCAGCAGCAGGCGTGGACACTTTGTTGGGTGATGTCTGGGGTTTCATCATTGGAGGCTCTACTGATCTGGTTGCTGTGAGAGCTCTCTGCATCTGACAAGTCAGACACAGCCACTCCTTTATCTGTGGGAAAAACCATATTATTTTGAGTGCCTCACTAACACATTAAAGGGTTTGCACAATGACATTTTAGTGCAGTACAACAAAATGCAGTACATAGCTATTTCTAAATTTTAATTTATGTACACCACATCATCACTGCTTATACTAGCATTACCACTGTATATTTAAACTGTCATTTAAGACCTATACAAAAATGTAGATATGATATGGAATACACATTTTACTACACATATCTTGTGTGAATCTCACTTACCTCTGACACATTAGGCATGGGGTTAAATCCACACTGGTTACAGACAGTGTTCTTGCATTCAGTGCAAGTATTGTAGTTAGGTGGATCCTTGGATCCCAAATTGAGCTCAACCTTACAGAGTGGACAGGTGAGCTGGCCTTGTTTGACAGTGGCTTGGGAGGCTGCTGCAGCCTTTGGAGGCACTAATGGAGCTTTTTCCACTTTTGCCTGTACCACTGGAGGTGTCTTGGTCTGCTGGGGTTGTTCTGGCCTCTTCTGCTGTTCTTTCTTCTGGGCAGCTGGGGACCTGACCTCTTTTGCTGGGGACATCTTGGGAGAAACTGGTGGAGTGGTCTTGGGCTGGTCCTGCACAGCTGAGGTAATGAAAGTAGATGCAGAGCTGAAGATGGAGGAACCAAAGCCAAACATTTTCCCAGTCCCTGACTCGGCAGGCTTTGAAGCATCAGGTTGAGATTTAGGACCACCAAAGCCAAAGAAGCCTCCTGACTCTTGCTGTGTAGCTGTGGTGGCATTACTCTGCTTATGTTCAGTTTTCCTTGTCTGGTCTGGTGTTTTATTAGGACCTGATGTTTTCTGGAGCTCATGTGGCCTTTTCTGAGAAGGAACTGGACTGGACTGTTTCTGACCCTCTGCCTTGTTAGCAGCCTCAGCTATAACTGGCTGTGCTGTTACAGACAGTTTCCTCTGAGGTGAGTGTGGTGAAGATGACTCTTTCTTTTCAGGTTCAGCTATGCTGATTGTGTCTTTCTTTTGGGGGTTTGCAGGTATCTGAGAGTTGACAGAAGCGACTTCTTGGGGCTGCGCCACTCTTAGAGCCCGCTGCATCTGGCAGGTGAGACACAACCACTCCTTCATCTGAAAAAAAGGTTCCATTATAAACTGTTGGTAATCTGTGTATATTTACTCCATGTTTTATATTTATGTAAGGAATTGAGCAATGTTATATTTCAGCAGTTGTTATAAATGTAGTAACAGAGACTAATTTGGGATTTCAATGTTTTATATTCCCCGAAAGTAATGCACGAAGGTATACATAATTTGAACATTATGCAGAGCCAACAAGAGACACTTTCAAAAAAGTCTCAGCTGTCAAATGTAAAATGAAATTGTAATAAAAAGTATATTTGTTTTCTGTTGTCTTACCGCTGTTTCATTTGGCATAGGGTTAAATCCACACTGGTTACATACAGTGTTCTCGCATTCAGTGCAGGTATTGTAGTTGGGTACATCCTTGGAACCAACGTTGAGTTCGACCTTACAGAGTGGACAGGTAGACTGGCCTGGTTTGAAAGCTACTTGGGAAGGTGCTGCAGCCTTTAGTGGCTCTGCTTGGGCTTTGTCCAATTTGCCCTGCCCTGATGGAGGTGTCTCGGTCTTCTTGGATGGCTCTGCTTTCTTCTGTTGTTCTTTATTTTGGGCAGCAGGGGATTTGATCTCTTTTGCTGGGGACATCTTGGGAGAAACTGGTGGAGTAGTCTTGGGCTGGTCCTGAACAGCTGAGGTAATGAAAGTAGATGCAGAGCTGAAGATGGAGGAACCAAAGCCAAACATTTTTCCGGTCCCTGACTCTGCAGACTTTGAAGCATCAGGTTGAGATTTAGGACCACCAAAGCCAAAAAAGCCTCCTGACTCTTGCTGCGTAGCTGTGGTGGCATTACTCTGCTTACGTCCAGGTTGGCTTGCCTGATCTGGTGGCTTCTTTGGACCTGTCTTCTGTCTTTCCTGTGGTGTTTTATGATCAGGTGGTGGGCTGGCCTGCATCAATAGTGCAGCAGTAGCTTCGGATTTGCCTAACTGCACTGATGTTATAGACTGCTTTCTCTGTGGTGAGACTGTCTCTGGGGTCTCCTTCTTTTGTACAGCAGGGCCTGGACTGTCCTTTTGAGGTACAGTTGGTTTGGAAGAATCCTTCAACTGGACTGCAGCATGTGTAGGAAATTTACTGGGTGATGTTTGGGACTTCATTGTGGGAGGCCCTGGTGGCTCAGTTGCCCCAACTGCTCTTTTCATCTGACAGTTAAGACATAGCCACTCTTTTACCTAAAATACAGTTGACACCTGGTCATGTGTTGCTTTGGAATTAGGAATTGCAGTCATTCACAACAAACCAAATATTTAGAGGAACAGACTCCTTAAAACTGCACTACAGATCCATGAAGTCATTGTAAAAAAAAAGGTCATAGATCAATGAACAAATGTAATTTTAAATATACTGACTGGAAATATAGTGTAAATGCATACAGTATATGAAGAAATAATTACTTTTGTCACTTACCTGTCCTATAGGCATTGGGTTAAATCCACATTGGGTACAGACAGTGGTCTCACACTCAGTGCAGGTGTTGTAGTTTGGAGGGTCTTTGGAGCTGATGTTAAGCTCGGCCTTACACAGTGGACAGGTGGCCTGGCCTACATTAGGAGGAGTTTGGGAGATTGTTGCTGCCTTTGGTGGCTGTGACTGAGCTTTGTTTTCCTGTTTGTTCTCCTGCTCTTGTTTCTGAACAAGAGTTTTGGGCTCTCTAGCTGGCGACATTTTGGGAGAAACAGCCGGTGTACTTTTTGGAGAACGTTTGGGCATAGTAGACACCTTGGGAGAGACTTGTGCTGGTGCAGACATCTTCCGAGAGCCTGGTGGTGTAGTTTGTGATTCATCCTGAACAGCGGATGATATCAATGTAGATGCTGAGCTGAAAATGGAGGAACCAAAGCCAAACATCTTCCCAGTCACAGACTCTGTTGTTTTTGCAGCATCAGGACCTGTTTTAGGACCACTCAAACCAAATAGGTTTCCTGACTGTATATCTGGGGTCACCTTACTCTGTTTTAGTTCCAGTTGACCTGCCTCGTCAGTTGGTTTCTGAGAACCTGATACCTGAGGAATGTCTAGAGGAGTTTTCTGACCAGGAGTTGGGCTAACCTGTGTGTCACTTTCTGGTCCTTTAGCAACCTTAATTGCCTGTGTTACTGCTGTAGACTGTGTCTTCTGTGGAGGCCCTGGTGTAGAACTCCCCTTCTTTTGAAGTATATCTGACACTGGAGTTTCAGTCATTGCCAGTGCATCAGATTTTGATAATTCTTTCTTTAGAGTTTCCAATTGATTCTGATCTGTTATTTTCTGATGTACAGCGGATGGAGAAATTTTGTTAGCTGCACTGTGAGGTTTCATAGGAGGTCCTGTGTGTTCAGATGCAATAAGAGCTCTCTGCATCTGACAGTTCAGACACAGCCATTCTTTCACCTGCAAAAAAATAGGTGAAATTAAAATATGAACATTTTACAACACTTGTATGCAATCACTTCCCTATGTCACAATATGTACTTTAGAGTGTTTAAGTATTCATTCCTGTTCAATTAAGCGTTGACATATGTCAGTTTTACCATTCATTATGATATATCCTACAGTACTTTCAATGTAAATGTGCATTTTTATAGTCTTTGCTTTTATTACCTCTGACACATTTGGCATTGGATTAAATCCACATTGGTTACAGACAGTGGTTTTGCATTCACTGCAGGTGTTGTAGTTGGGAGGTTCCTTAGAGCCAAAGTTGAGTTCCACCTTACAGAGTGGACAGGTAGATTGTCCTGCCTTGGCAACAGCTGGGGAAGCAGCTGCATCCGTTGGAGACTCTGATGGAGCTTTCACGACTTTGGCTTGTATCAATTGAGAGGTACCGGGCTGTTGGTCTTGCTCTAGTTTCTTCTCCTGCTCTTTTTTCTGAGGAAGAGGTGATTTGGGTGCCTTTGCGACAGGCATCTTGGGAGAAACTGGCGGTGTCATTTTCGAATCATCTTGGACAGCTGAGTTTATTAAAGTGGATGCAGAACTGAAGATGGAGGAACCAAAGCCAAACATTTTTCCACCCAGTGATGCAGCAGACTTTGCAGCCTCAGGTTGAGGTTTAGGACCACCAAATCCAAATAATCCTCCGGATTCCTCTTGTGTTAAGGTAGTATTACTCTGCTTACGTCCAGTTTGTCTTGTCTGGTCTGGTGGTTTCTGAGGACCTATTTTCCAACCGTCCTGTGGAGTTTTCTGACCAGGTGCTGGGCTGACCTGTCTCTGTCTTTCTTGTCCTTTCATGGCTTCATCCTTTGCTGGCTGCTCTACTGGTGTTAGTGGTTTCGTCTGAGGGGAGCCTGGTGCAGAGGCCTCCTTTATTTTAGATTCAACAGGTTTTGGAATTTCTTTCTTTTGTGGTTTATCTAGTGGGGATGTTTCCTTATTTAAGGATTTGGCAGGTGTAGTGACTTTAGTTGGTGAGGCCTGTAGTTTCATCGTTGGAGTTCCTGGAGGCTCCGATGCTCCTAGAGCTCTCTGCATCTGGCAGTTGAGACATAACCACTCCTTCACCTGTATTAGAGCAAACAATAAATGAGTACAATTTAGATTACTGTTGTTGTACAGTGTATTTTACTTCTAAAAACATATTAATTACATTAATAAAAACAAAATGCAACAATTACTTTTCCAGTAACATTTCTATAATCTACAGTACTCTTATTATCTTACCTCATTCACATTTGGCATGGGATTAAATCCGCACTGGATACAGACAGTGTTTTTGCACTCTGTACAAGTATTGTAGTTGGGAGGATCTTTAGAGCCTACATTGAGTTCCAGTTTACAGAGAGGACAGCTAGACTGGCCTGCTTTGGAAACAACTGGGGAAGCTGGTGCTCTCTTTGGCTGCTCTAATGGAGGGTTGTCCACTTTCGATGGTACTGATGGAGAACCCTTGTTCTGCTGGGGTTGTTCTGGTTTCTTGGCAGTGGGGGATTTGGAGTCCTTTGTAGCCATTGTCATTTTGGGAGAAACTGGTGGAGTAGTTTTGATCTCATCCTGAACAGCTGAGGTCATCAAAGTGGATGCAGAACTGAAGATGGAGGAACCAAAACCAAACATCTTCCCACTCACTGACTCTGCAGCCTTTGCAGCAACAGGCTGACCACCAAAACCAAAGAACCCTCCTGACTCTTGCTGTGTAGTTTGTGCAGTTTGGCTTGTCTGGTCTGGTTGCTTCTGAGGACCTATCTTCCGGCTCTCCTGAGGTGTTTTCTGACCAGGAGGTAGACTGGCCTGTTTATGACTGTCTGGTCCTTTAGCAACTTCAGCTTTGGATGGTTGAGCTGTGGGTGTAGATACTTTCCTCTGAGGAGAGCCTGGTGCAGATGTCTTTTGTAGTGTAGGCTGTGCTGGAGTACTTTTTTTAAATGATGAATTAGCGAAAGATGTGTCTTTCTGAGGTTCAATTCCGCCAGCAGCTCGTTTCACCTGGCAGTTTAGACAAAGCCACTCCTTTACCTTAAAAAACACAAGAAATAAACAACACGTTTCAATGATGACAAATTACAATGGAGATTTTAAACTAAAAAGGACAAAAGAGAGAAGCTAGGAGTTGAGGAGTAGAGTCTGTAGTGGCTACAGCAGTTTAGATGAAGATGGACTGGGTTGTCAAATATTAGGCTAGATGAGGTTTATGTAATCTTGATGAGATGTATGATGTGAGAAACACACCACCCAGCTTAGTCCTTGGGCGTTAGGTAACATCCACTATTTACCACAGCATTTGAGAAAATTGTAAACCAGATTATTGTATTTAATTAAATGTAAGTTTTACTAAATCAACTAATTCACAAATATCAGTTATCATCACAAAAATGCAAAGCTTCTGAAAAAGTAAGCCAAGTGACAGTGCTGACAATATTTTCTTAAGTTTAGACATGTAAAAACATCCACTTTCTCAGAGTGCATGCAAATGCACAGAATGATCTCTCCATCTGGATCTTGGTACAACACTGTTTTAGGCATTTGTTAAAGCAGTATCACAAGACCGAGTAGCCTTGGATTGTCCTTGGCAGGGTAGCCTACTAACTGTGCATTGAATTACAGAGTCAAGTGTCAAGTCCTTTGTGCTCCAGATGGAAGGTCCATTTACCCTGGTATTCCCTACAAGACAATCCACCTGGGGTGTGTATGTGTGTGTGTGTCTGTGTGTGGTATATGTGTTTTTTGCCTACAGCTTTTAAATAAAGTCTACTTGACTGAACTCCAGCAGCAGTATTTAATAGGTGTGAACAAAGCATTTTCCCAACAATTGTGGATCTTTTCTTTTTCAATTCTATATGTAGCCATGCAGTAAGTAAAACTGTTATTCATAGAACTAAGACTGAAGGGAAATACAGTGATGCCAGATGTGTGTGGAGTTGCTTTGCTAAAGGTACTGATTCATAGCCACACTGTTTGGGCACTGTAAGTAGGATATTGCCTCACAACACTGTAGCTTTAGTTGAAGGACTGGACATCGTAACAGGGCTGCACAGAAAAAACTAAGACAATACCACTCTGAATTTGGTTCAGTTTATATCTGTTTGGTGAAACTTATCTGTTCATGCAAAAAAGTAATTTCTAAAAAAAAGCCTCTGTCATAATCTTTAACTTTAACTCTGTAACTTCAAAATTATTGCTGGCATGTCATCTATTCATGTAAATGTGTAATACAATTTGGGAATAGTACTCCAAACAATGAAATGAAATCTAGTTCAGCAACTACTCTACACATTAAAAAGGAACTTAACAGCTTCAAAGAGCTTAATTCAAAAGTATCTGATTATGCAACAGTACGGCATCTAAGTAATGAACACTTGTACACATTTAGGCTATAATGCAACTACCCAGACTAACCCTGCTGGCAGATTCTGATCACTCAGGAAACAAAAACAATTTGCCTCCAAAAATATAAAATTATAGAGTAAAGTTTGTAACATCACTATTTAAAAATGTTCTTCCTCCCTTTCTTCAATTCTTCATTAATTTCTTCATTTAATCAATATGACACCTGTCTTACCTCTTTAACATTTGGCATGGGGTTAAATCCACATTGGTTGCACACAGTGCTTTTGCATTCAGTGCAGGTGTTGTAATTGGGAGGATCCTTTGGGTCCATGTTGAGCAACATCTTACAGAGAGGACAAGTGGATTTGCCTTCTTTAGGATCATTGTGGGAGGCTGTTGTTGCCTTTGGAATCTCTGATGGAACTTTGGCTTGCCCTGCAGGATGAGCTTTTGCCTGCTGGGGTTGCTCTTGTTTCTTGTCTTGCGCTGACTTTTGGACAGTAGGTGGTTTGGTCTCCTTTGTAGACTGCATTTTGGGAGAAACTGGTGGTGTCGTTTTGGGCTCATCCTGAACAGCTGAGGCTATCAAAGTAGACGCAGAACTAAAAATGGAGGAACCAAAGCCAAACATCTTCCCAGTCACTGACTCTTCAACCTTTGCAGCTTCAGTTTTGGCCCCACCAAAGCCAAATAAGCCTCCTGACTCCTGCTGGGGAGCTGGGGTGGCAACGCTTTGCTTGCGTCCTGTTTGACTAGTCTGATCAGGTTTTTGAGACCATGATGTTCTGTGGGTCTCAGGTGTCATTTTCTGAACAGAAGCTGGGCTGGACTGTCCTTGAGTTTCTGGCCCTTTAGCACCTTCATCCTTGGTTGGTACTTTTGCCAATGTAGACTGCATTTTCTGAGGTGAACCTGGAGCTGACATCTCTTTGTTGGTTGTGGGCTTTTTCATGGAAGGTCCTGGTCTTTCAGAAGTTCCTTGAGCTCGCTGTACCTGGCAGGTAAGACAAAGCCACTCACGCCCCTATACAGAAAAATAAAAAAGATACATACATTTTGACAGTGATGAATCATTAAGGCACCACAAATTACTTTTATAACGTTTAACAGTGAATAACTAACAGTTATTCAACACCAGTTAAGCTATGCCAGTGAAGATTAATTCATTGTTTATTTTATCTGGATTCAAGTCATTCTGAGAACGGTGTTCAAAATGTTGCATTATGATTAGTATTATAGTAGCGATATGGTGCAGTGTGTAATAGTAAATCTGTATCATATATGCAGTAAAGCTTTGTGTTGGATGATCTTTCAGCAATCAAAGAGAACCATATAAAATCAATAGCAAAAGGTATGTCAAATAAAATATAAAAGACATGATACAAAGGCAAACTAGCCACAAAACCACTACTTACATCAGAGTCTGGAGGGCTGAAGCCACACAAGCTGCACACTTCAGTTTTACACTGTGTACAAGTTTTATGGTTAGGTGGTTCCTTGGTGTGCATATTAAGTTCTGTGGTTTTACACACTGGGCAAAGGGACTTAGCTACTGCTTTTGACTGAGATCCAGCTTTGGTCGCTCCCGGTGATGAAGACACTGCTCGGGATAGGCCAGGTGTACCAGGTCCCTTAGGGTCTTGTTGCTGAGTCCCAGGCTTTTCAGTGTATTGCTGCTGGGGTGTAGTCCTGAAGACTTGCTGTTGTTGTCCCAAATTAGGTGAGCCCTGTTGTTGCTGTACAACTTTAGGGGAACCTTGTTGCTGTGAAAGTTTAGGTGAGCCCTGTCCTTGCTGTCCAGTTCTTGGGGATCCCTGGTGCTGCTGTCCTACTTTAGGTGACCCAACCTTTGTGGACTCTTGCACCCCAGTCTTTGTAGGTTGTTGTTGCTGTGCACCAGTCTTAGTAGGCCCTTGTTGTTGCATCCCTGTCTTAGCTGGGACCTGTTGCTGTGCTGATGGCTTTGGAGATTCTGGTTGAGCTCCAGGCTTAGGTGTACCTTGGTGTCCTCCAGGCAGTGACCCTGCCTTTGAAGCAGCTTGTTGCCCACCAGGCTTGTTTGGGGCTCCAGCCTGTCCATTCCCATGCAGCTGTGGTGATCCTTGTTTAGGGAGAGGCTGGCTCTTTTGCATAGGCGGGCCCTGTTGCTGTTGAGGGCCTTTGCCAGGGCCTGCTCCTGGCTGCTGTTCTCCAGATTGCTTCACCCCCTGCTGGGAAGGGTTTTTTTGATTTTTATTCCCCTCCCCATCATCTCCAAATAAACCAAACTTATTCACAGCAGAAGACACAGCATTGAGGGGGTTGGCCCCGCTAAGAAATTTGGAAGAGAACATATTGGGGTCTTCCTCCTCCTCCTCCTCCTCTTCCTCCTCCTCCTCCCCGCAGCTGCTGGAATCTACAGGACTGTCAGAGCCAGAGCAGGAGCTGTCTCCTGTCTGTCCTGGCTCTCCTGCAGAGGCCTTAGGGGGGGCTGGGGCCGGAGCTGTGGAGAGAGCATCTACAGCCCCACTGCTGCTGCTACTGCTGCTGCTACTCGCTGGGCTCTCCTCTGGCTCAGCATCTACATCAGACTTCCTAAATGCACGAAAAACCGACAGAGAGGACGTGTAAGATGACAGGGAATGAGACAAGGAGGGATTACTAAAGAGAGCGTGAGAATTTGTGAACCACATTTACATTACTGCCTGAGCCAATATGCTGTCTGGTAAACAAAATAAGACCCTTCTGCGACAGCACACTAAAGTACAATGAATACAGAGGAAACACATCATTCATCCACTGATTCATTACTGTCTAAGGTGGGTTTTTGATCCTCTTTATACATATTGAGAAAGAATTGTAGCTAAGTTACCTCTAATTAGCCTACTCCTTTATGTAGGACAGTGTGTCAGTGTGTTACACAATAATATGATTCGGTTTAAAAAGGTGCATCTTTATCAAAATCCATTAACTACTTATTTTACAATCGAATACATTGCAAATTGCGTCTGTGAAACACCACAGTGCTTGACAAATAAAATGTAGCCTTCTCTCATCCCGGCTGAAACGATTATCATTTGCTTAGCAACCGTCGCCTCTGTACAGAGAAACCATTAAGGATTCAGCCTCACTTTGATTTACTCCCCTCTGACTGTTGCTTTCAGGACCACGGACAGAGTCAGAGCCGCTCTGTTGATCACATCGTGCTCAAACCTCAGAGATCCCTCTCAGGCAGAAATACATAACAGACCAATGTGCAACACAGGAGGCGAGTACCGCTCTGAAGAGACCCGGCTACTAGCCTACAAACCCAATTCAAATGATGATTTTTCTACCACCGTCCTCGGGGTTTCCCTCACCCATCACCCAAATAAGTAATCTCAAGCAAGACATGTTTTACAGCAGCAAGACGAGTAGGCTAAACACGGGAAATCTAGCCCTCTCTCTTTGGAAATCTGCCCCATCAAATAATGCATGGGAAGTTAATACTAATAATTACCTTTATAAAACAACATCAAATGTAGTACAGGTCTCTGGTGAGCAATTGTGAGTAGTAGGCCTATCATAATAAGAATTTTACGTCTACTATGCTCAGCCTATTGGCAGAAATGGTTCACCCAGAGGCGGTTAAGTGGGTCTGATGTAGGTAGCCTATCCATTGCGTTTTTATCGTAATGAAAAAGCAGTATGCATTTCGCTCCACCACTTTACACTAAACCCGATAACATGTTAGTCCGCAGAGGGCAGGAGGTGATTTAAAAACAAAACAAAACGCATTCTCACCTATTTGTGTGCCCTTGACCGGGAGCCTGTTCAGATTTCGGGAAAGTCTAAATGTTGTATACACCTAAATGATTTGAAAGCAGTCTAAATCAACGTGGAAACCCAGCAAAAGCCCTGTCATCGGTGGCATTTCCCCTAATACCATCTGTTATCCGCTCCGTGTCCCCCCCCCCCCCCCCCCCCCCCCACTCATCTCCTCCCATCCTGCAGCCCAGCATCCGTCACCCTCCACGGTCACAATGTCAAACACTGAAGCGCGGTATTGCAGTGAAACCGATGGAAATTGTACCTTCATCAGCAGCAGGTCTGTGTCTCTATCCTCGCCAAAAAACCTCCTCGGATATCCCCTGTCCGTGTCTGTCTGATCGCAGAGGGATGGAGGGCACAGGGCAGCAGATAGAGAGCGATCAGCATCCACTCCGCCTCCCACTCCAGTGCGCAGGCGCCGCATCTGACAGGTGATCACAATATATATCTCGCACGGAAATTGAAATTAAAGGGGACAAGGCGATTTATTTCCCCCGGAGTCACGTGTGATCAGCGGCGAAGATCTACCCTCCTGCGTGATAAGGTACACATTTTCTCAGCCATCGTTGACATATCTGAAATGTCACTGTGGTGATCATAGAGTAGTGTGGAGGGATAATGTGATTTTAGCTCCAAGTGTGCTGAGCCATCTCAGAGCGATATCACATCCAGTTCACTTTGAATTCCATTCTATATGGTTATTTGGATCTTCTATGCAAATAATCGTTCCAAAACAACACAATGTTTTATGACATTCACTTTTTTTCTGTTTTATAAGGTAGGCCTTGGACACAAGTATGTGAGGCATTGTATATTTCATCTGTGGATTCAGATGCTTGTGTGTACAGCTGCATGCCAAGTCATCACTCAAAGAAAATGATGAAACAAGAAATAGCCTATTGTCATCCAAACACTGATTGATCAACTATCTACATCGTACATATCTTAAATATCACCAATCCTTCAAACCTGTCTAAGCACAGAGAGTAACTCATTTCAGCTGATCTCAGAAGTACTGTTACAGTTGCCTTTTCATATTACTTTCTCTTTGTCAGTTTAGCAAACCTTATTGCTTCAAAATGAACTGCCTCCAGTTTTGCTACATCATGCACAATATGCAGGATGTAATCCACAGAGCTTCCAGTTGTGGACATCAGTCAGTGCATTTAAGTAAAAAGTCTGGGGATATGATGTTATTTTATTTTTGCATAAACAAATGCATTTTGGACTAGATGCCTTTCTTCAGTGTGGAGCAATTCTTTCCCTGTGCAGACACCATCTAGACATTTCCTTCAGGGCCTGCATTAAAGGTTGTTGCTGTTGGTTGCATTATAGTTTATAGAATACTTAATATCATGCAATGGGAGGTGAACTCCCACAGGCACAAAGCACCCCTTCAGTCTGTGTAACCTCTCGTCTTCCTTTGCTGGCCTTCTTATTCGGGCATTTCTCCCACAAGAGTTTTTCTACAGAGCAGATGTGATGTGAAGAGACAATCTGGGGAATCTTATCCTGTGCTGCTGTCAGAGTGATAAAAAGAATAAACTTGCTGGCTCTTCTCCTTCCAGCTCAGGCCAGATGAATAGACATACTGAGACTTCTGTCCAACTAAGAACTGACCATGATCCTTGAAAAGTATCAGTATAGTATTAGTATTTACACATCTCTGAAGAATATAGATTCTGTTAAAAAACCCTCATACAATGTCCATAATTCACAGTAAAAAGAATACAATCTGGAGGGTTAGAAGACTAGATTTAAGAGCAAGAGAAGAATGCTTCACAAAACAGGGAATCAAAAATCTCACCTCTATACCCTTCTGCCATAAGGAAGATAATCCACCAGCAATGGTTACTTATCATCAAAGAAAATGATTTGTCTAAAACACACACATGCCCCCCACATTCACATGCATATTCACACATGACATTCAGTAGATAAATTCCTATTCAGTATGTGGTAAGCGTGAATGAGATGTGTGGGAAGGATGGAGAGCAAGTGGTGTGTGGGTGTGTGGAAGAGTTACGTCACACGTGATGTGTGAGCGGCAGAATCGCTATGGTCTCTCTTTGGGAAGCGCCAGATTTGGCTTCACACACACACACACACACACACACACACCACACACACACACACACACACACACACACACACACACACACAACACAGACACAGGAAACATTTATCAGCACAATCTCCATCTGGGGATATAGGCTGTAGCTTTGCTGTGGGCTCGTGCATGGGCCGGAAATCCTTAAAGTAATCTTAGACTGTTATCTACCTCATCCTCACAATCTGGTACTTGAAAATATTTTTGGTGGACAAGCGGTGATCCTCTTCCTGTTTTTCTGGAGTATAAGAATAGATCTTGAGTCAATGTAGGCCTTCTGTCCTAACATACCACTCTTAATTATCAGGTGGGATATGTAACTGTATGTATTGTCTGACCCACTGACTACTATCTATCCTAAGAATGCAGAACTGTGGTTCTTTGGCCTGTTATTTTAAAGCACTTTAGAGGAAACAAAAAAACTGTCTAAAATCCTACTTTTTTTCATTAATGTTTTTGATGTTGTTAAACTGTTTCCATCCTGCTCCACAAGTGAGTTGTGTTTGTCAGTCAACAATGTTATGTAAGACTGTAAGACAGCAGGCAATCACCAGATGCTGTACCATCATGTTCTTTTCTTTTGATCTCCCCCTCCGCTTGTCAGTTTAAATGCAATAACTACAATCTCCACTGTCACTGTCACCATCCTTTTTTCCCCCACGCATTCTCTGATAATGCCAGACCAGCCTTAAATCCCGCACTCACACAGCTGAAGCATGGCAGACTTTAACAACATCACTCATTTCTAGGCAAGGACCCCAAATTTAATTGTATTCTCTCATGTGTATTGAGGAGAGAAAATAATTTAACCTGCTCATGGGGAACAGTTGAATATTAAAACATGTTTCACATGCGGGTTCATTTGTCTGACTTTCCCACATGTGTATTGAATAAATTTACATGAGGGACAGAGATAAAATTCCTTTGAAAGGCCTTTTTATCAGTTTGTTTAATTTTCTTTTCCATTTGAGCAGATTCCCAGATAAAAAGAGGGATTCCCTGCAGGAATTTCAAGAGATGAACAGCATCTGTCACTCTGCTTCTTTCTCTGTGGTGTAATATAACAGGTGCTTGCAGTAATATTTCTTTCTGCAGTCGTTGCAGCAGGTTTGTGGCTGCCGGATGAAGCCATCAACTGCATGGATTGCAAAACTTTTTGTACCTGTAGGGCCCAGGTTTAAGCATACAGAAATGATGAATTTAAGTCTGGTCTACAATCTTGTGTTAGTCCAGTTTACACTTAAATGATGCACAAATTAACTCCAGTAGATACTGTTCATTGTTTGGCTGTATGTATCAGCCCTGTGATGAACTGGTGACCTGTCCAGGGTGTACCCTCTTGCCCAATGTTAGCTGGGATCGGCTCCAGCCCACTGCGACCCTGCAAAGGCTAAACGGTTATAGATAATGGATGGACATACTGTTCAGCTGAAATTGAAAGCCGATCTCCATGAGAAGAAACCTATCCAGTTCAAGGTTCGGGTGTCTATAGGAAGAAATGAAGGGTACATCCCTGGACAGGTCACCAGTCCATCACAGGGCACATACAGACAAAAGAATTCACACTACAGGCCGTTTAGTAGTTTCCAGAGAACCTAACCTGCAAGTCTTTTGACTGTGGAAAGAAATACACACTACCTGCTTGCTAAGAGCATGCCATCACGCCACTTTGCTGCGAAGGGACAAACCCAGAGTCCATCAATGCTAGCTATTGATGTACTTATCCCTTTCTTTCCATTTTCCAAACATTAATATAAACATGAGGTCATATTCCATCTGACAGTTGACCAGGTGCCTCTGTGGTTCTCCTTTCTGCAGCATTGCCTCTCACTCTGCTCACTCAGGCATACACCATTAGAAAGACAACACATTTGTACAGCATTTGTATTCTTCTCTGCACAGTCGAGTCCAATCCCAGCACCCAGACACACACATCTCTGCCTCCCTGTCTCTCTCTCTCTCTCTCTCTCTCCTTCTCTCTTCCTCTGTCTGACTCTCTCATACACAGACACTCAAGCAAACAGAGCTCAGAAGCAGTACTTATCTCGCTCTCATTTTAATTAAGCCGGCACACTGGAGCATAATGCAGCCTCGCAGTTTTCTGAGTCCCTTGGCTGTAATTCTCATGGATGAGACTGCAACTTCGACAACAACAACAGCCGGACAGTCACTTACAAATGACTTTTCCGAAAGTATTTTGCAAAAACACACACCTCTGACGTTGACCCTTGAGGAAGGCAAAGCAGTTTTTCCCCGGCATGGTTTTCTCTGGGGCAGAGCCGAAGCAGTGTGGAGCAGTAACCTGCATGGAGGTGTATAGCTGTCCTCTCTAGGTCTCTAGGTCTCTGTGCCTGTGTGTTTGGCAGGGTCACCATGTAATTTATCCAGTAACCTGATCACACACACTTTGCCAGTGTCATTAAATTTACATATCTGCCCTGAGGAGGGGAAAATATGGACTCACGGTGCTAAATTCTAGATGGAACCAAAAGATTGCTGGAATGCACCAAAAAGATGAACTGAAAAATTCAGTTCAGTCAACAGTTGATAAATTGGTTTTGAAGTATGGCCTTTAGGACTAGGTGTAATTTATGTCACGATCTGTCATATTGTTTGTATCATATTAACTAGCCAATATGTAATATTCTGCTGGCAGAGTGATTTGCTCTTTAATTAAATTGAAGTGGACAGGAAAAATCAAATTGGTTCATCATGGGTCCTCTTTCCTCTTGAACACTTGGTTTTTCACGGACAGATTTAAGCCAGTACTTTGTCACACATAATAAACATTTCAACAGTGTAATTGACTGACTGATAACTTGATTGTGTTAGAATACGGATGATAAGTGACAGGTAGAGTTACCAAGCCTTGGCAGTCTGCTGTGTGTCACTAGGGAGGATGGTTTGTGCTTTTCCTTCTCCCTTCCTCACTCAGCATCATGCTAAAGCCAGTCAGTCCTTTTTCCTGATGAGTGACCACTGCTATCTGCCAAACTAAAAATATCCTTAAAGAAACAGCATCCACAACACATCAGTACACCCTTTTCACTACTTCCCTTGCTCTTATCTTGCTTATCCCACTAGCCCCTCCCTCTGCCATCGTGTCATGGGAGAATTCTAAGGACAACACAGTTCACGCCCCCAAATCCTACAAATCATTGAGCAACAGATCACTGCTAATCAGTGTCAGACTGGTAAAGAGAGAAGGACAAGAAAGGGGGAAAAATAGTGGGTAGGATAAAAATACTTCTAGTCTGATAATGGAAATGAGGACACTAAACTGATA